ATTATATATGGGGAGTGGGGTCGAGAGTCAATTCGATCTTCTTATTGGCTTCCATGAGCGGGCCCGTTTGGCTTCACCGCTGCTTCTCACTCCGCTGGGAGTTTCCTCCACCCCATCGAGTTCGAGTTCCTCCCCTCTGATTCCTCTTCCTCTCCGCCTAAGGTTTCCGACCCCGATCCCATTACGCGACACCCGTGATCTGGAAGCGTTCCGTGGCAGACAGGCGCCGCGCCATTTCGAGGGGTGGCGGTGGATTCTGACGAGGGAGGTGCGTCTGTCAGCAACCTATTCTTTGAGGCGAAGTGGAGAGAAGAGAGGAAGGAAGGGCAGGAATCATGATGACGGTGACCCGAAGCGCGGTGAGCACTATGTTCATTGTGTTCGTCTGCACTCGCCTAATCTGCGCCAGGATGCACCTCAGGGACACCAGAATGGCTTTCCTTGCCGCCACCAGATCCGACCTCGGCATTGTCGGTTCCTACGCTGTCCCTTCCTTTTTGATTCCTCTCATTTTCTGTTCTCTATAACGAGAAATTCATGCGCTTTTGTTTTGAAGGCACTGTTCTCTATAAGGAGACCCTTTTCTCTACGAGCTATGTTGTTATGTTTAAGTACATCCTTGTGGTGGAGTGGGCTTGGATCAATGCACGCCCGGTTTCCAGCATTGATTTCCTTTGAGACATAAATGGGGGCTGCAAAGCGTACTTTTTTTGTACCTTTTATTGTTTTCTTGTTCTTTTGGTATCCCTGGGTCTGGGCCGATGGTCATGAGTGACGATAGGAGGGAGGTGTACACGGCCTTGCGTCATTGGAAATGTTGTTTTAATTTTACTGTTTTATTGGTCCTTTTGATCGTTTGTTTGCTTTTTCTGGACAATCAGGATGCATGAAATCTAATCCGGTTTGAGTGCCTTTTAGCACTGGAATTACCGAGAGAAGATTGATATTGTACAGGTTTGGAGTTTCTGATGGATGATGCTCATTTGGTATTGAAATTGTGATGTGTGAGCATTGGATGACTACCCACTTATTCCTTTGGCTTTCTTCCTTGAACAGCTAGAACATGGGGTCAATGGGCTGGAACCAGTTGTAGTTGCTAATTTTCCAATAAAGAAATTTGGTGACCAGTCCCTTGCATTGGGCCAGGAGGCACATTGAGGTCTCATTTTCTTTATGTCTATTGATCTTTTGATTGTTTGTGTTTATGTCGTTCTTTATAATGACCACTTATCAGTATCTGGGGACAATCAATTTGTTGTTCTTGTCATTGTTTTTTCTCCTTTAACACTTGACACAATATGTTAGCTCTTATATGTCCATGGATGGGACAGATTTCTGGTTTTGCTAATTCATTATGCATATGTCTTTATTTGGTGAATTTGTGGTCTGTCAAATTGGTTTGTCATGGTATTGCTTAATGCTCAATCTAAAAACTCACTGGTTGTGCAACTTCATTACATTTCTTTTATGAGGTTGCACTTGGTACAACAGTAAGATTATTCCTGTGCAACATGGGAGACTAGAGTTCGAGTCTTGTACGTCAAGTCTCCTTAAATTTCACAGTGGTGGGAGGTTCATCCTTTATAATGTCCCTTTCATTTATATGCCTTTATTTGGTGAAATATATGAGGTCTGAATTTGGCTTGTAATGGTACTGATAAGTTAGTGACACTCTCAAATTTTAAAGTACTTATTGCATTCTAAGATGCTGTCCAATATAAACTATTTTAGCAAACAATATGCTTAAATTAACTCTTATTAGATCCTGCATTTGTGGGAGGCTCATGCACTTGGTTCACCGTTATAATGTTCCTTTCATTTATATGCCTTTAGTTGGTGATATATATGAGGTTTGAATTTGGCTTGTAATGGTACTGATAAGTTAATGACACTCTCAAATTTTAAAGTACTTACTGCATTCTAAGATGCTGTCCAATATACGTTATTTTAGTAAACAATTTACTTTCATCTGCTCAAGCATGAGTAGAAAGATGGTTTTATTGAACATGATTGAATTGGCATTGCGATGCTTCCCATCAGATGAGTGTTAGACCTGTGACTCTTGTTTACCTGACCAAAAAACTAGCTTTCAAAGAACACCAATTTCTTGTATGCTTTTCATTTATTTAACAAAAAATTTTGTATACCTTGTTCTAGATAGTTTCTAGGAAAACAATAGTTGTTGAACAAATAGATTGATGTTTTGAGGTCCTGTAGATGCACCACAATTTATTCGATTTTAGTTTTACTTTAGGAAAACATGTAGTTGTTTGTGCATCTTTTAATTTCTTTTGTGAAGCAATTCCTATTCTACCATTTTTGCAGGCTTGAGTTTTATTATTTTTATTTCTGCATGTTGACCTGTTATAAATATTCATGATAACAAAATTCTGTTACCACACAGTCATGCAATCTGCTGAACTTAATTGTTTCTTTTCCATTACATCTTTCAGTGTATTTATTTATATCTTTTCTTTTCCTTGAAGAACAAACTGTTTAAATTTGGAGAGTTAGCCTAAAGAGTCATGTAATATTGCACTGGTGACAATGAATAATTTTTGGTGTATTTATTTATATCTTTTCTTTTCCTTCAAGAACGAACTGTTTAAATTTGGAGAGTTAGCCTAAAGAGTCATGTAATATTGCACTGGTGACAATGAATAATTTTTGGTGAAAAAAACCTTAGAGGATCCAGAGATGATGAAATAAATAATGGCTACAGCAAAATATGATCAGGAATTCCATAAAACACAACTATCTTGTACTTTTTTGCCAATTTATTTGTATATGTACATAGACGCTAAAATTCAACTGTAACTATAGGAGCTTCCTAACATTTGTTGCATTAGAGTATACTCAGAAAAGTGGTGATGGAAATAACAGGTAAATTGCCTGAGAAGATATGACCTGACTTGTTATATATCATTTGTGCATTCTGGCAATCAAGTTATGTTTAATTCTCTAGGAATTAATTATCTATCTTGTTATATATATCTCTCTCTCTCTAACTCTTGTGCATTTGCTCACTTACGCAGGGTCATATTGCACTTTTCTCTGGCTGATATTTTACAATGTTTATGTTTTTTACTTTTTTCCCCTTCTTACTGGCTTCTTTCAAGATATTGACCTATAATTCATCTTGCTGCTTTTGGTAGGTGTACCAAGAGACGGATGTTTTGCGCATTCTTCCATCTTGTGGCCATACATTCCATGTTACTTGCATAGACATGGCTGAAACAACATTCAACATGCCCTGTCTGTAGAATTTCATTGCGAGATTCTCCTGATAGAGAACATGCACTGTGACCTCTCTACAGTTCAGCCACCAGAACCTTTTCTCACCCTGAAACCTTTGTTGCAGATCCATGCCACTATCAATTTGCACAGTCATGTTACTCTCCAAGGGTAGCAGAAAACCAGAGAACCGTCTCCCCTCAGGAAGACCAGTTGATGTCATTGCCATCCGGATCCAGTTATAATGCCTTCTTGATCTGTAGCCAACTGCTTCATATCAAGCAAAATCAAGATACATCAAGAATCTACAAAATTCTTTGCCACTCAAATAACAGGAAATAGGATATGCTTGAGATTGATCTCCATGCCAAATACATAGGGATTGAAGGGATTTAGAAGCTAACATCATATCTGTACAACTGTTTGTCGTGAGCTGCATGCTGCTTTTTATCCGGCATGATGTTTGAGGGTCAGTTGTTGGAGATTGTTGAAATGGGTGGTTTTTGGTATTCTGCTATAAAATCATGAATTTTGATGGTATATACTTCTGAAGACTGATTAATCTTTTTATAGACAGTTTGTCTGGCTACCTGAGTGTTTAACCTTTCCACTTTGTCATATCTCCGAGTATTATGCGAAAACCAAGTGCTGCGTTCCATTATCCTTATTTTGCATTCTAGATTTACTTAAATTACTTTGGTGATTTTGAAGTGAAATATATAAACTTGCTCATCCCTGCTAAGCAATGCCTTTGGAGAGCAATTCCAACCACCTTATGCTACTAAAATGAAAAGCTTGATGATGGCCAGGTAGGCTCTCTTTGATTCATTCCCATGTATGTGGGCACAGACATGCTGATCCTAAACATCCATTGCCTGGTAGCAAAAAAAGATGATCTTGTGATGGTAGTATCGTTTGATTTGACGTTTTGGGTATCGGACCGACATAGATTTGGTATGCACCAATGAAGTCTTTTTGGAAGCATACGGCCGAATCTATGCCATCGACTCGATAGATTATCTAGTTCATATATACCGTTCTATATGTACTATTTAGAAGATGTGAGGTAATTCCTTCCAAACACAAGTAAAAACTAATTGGCCTGGCCAAATAGGTTATCATTATGAAGCTTATAATCATACAAAGATCCATTCTTTTGAATGAGTAAAATTCATTCTTCCTTTTTCCTCTTTTCAAATTACATAATTCTTATATGAATACAATATATACACATGATGAATCAATCTGTGGTAGATCAAGTCTGCCAAGAACGAAAGAGAAACCTGCAAATTCAGCTAGAACTCTTCATCATATGCTGTCGATCTTGTAACTGGAATGGACCATCTTCCTAGATGTGCTGTGTAATTTATACATCGAACTATGCCTCTTCCTGTAGGCCCATCTGGAAAGTCGATAACACTGACGCTACCAGCATCAAGATGAAAGGATCCCATCCATTCCATTGTTAGGTTGAGGCATTGGGCTATCAGTGCAATATGAAGGGCAGGGTGTCCTACAACCACCAAGTTTCTTTCTGGTTCTGATTCATTCAAGAGTTCGTGTAGCAAGGAATGCCAAGCCTTCTTTGTCTGCTTCCAAATATCGGTTAATGATCGATGGTCAAAGCCATCTAACCAACCTGGATGAACCACCAAGCTGCCTGTTGAATTCTGGGAGAAAAAAGAAGAAAAATTAATGAACCATTTCCGATATGAGAGTTGTTTGTACACTTTGCGTGCAAGAAATCATGGAGTTGAAACATAGGATGTTAGTTTGTCCAAGACTGAAATGAGTTCTAAATCATAAACTTTTACCTTCTGTGCTTGCTGAAAGGCAGGTTCCACTTCGAGGTCGATCATTTTCTTCACCTCCACATAACGAGGCATGCAGTCGGCGCCTAAACAATCTGCAGCTTCTTGGACCTGTGTTCAAAGTGAGACTGATAGAATGATATGTGACTTGTGATGATTTGAGGACACAGAATTACGAATCATTTGTTCTCTGATGTTCTTGGAGAACTTTGAAAGAGTCTCACCTCCGATATAGACATGGCTGTGTCAACTGAGGCAACACGTGGACTGCAGGCAATGCAATCGATCTTCAAGTCCAGAAGAAGCTCCGCGGTTTTTTGTGACTGCAGTAATAGTGGTCCAGGAATGGTCGGATGAATAAATCCATTGCCAGCAGAATGCTATCAAATGGAGGGAAGAAAGTAGCTACCTGTATTATCCCAAGCATATTCATGGACTCATATCCCATATTGGCAAACACCTGAAAATTAGAATCGAATCATATGTTTTATTTAGAAAAAAAATTCTCTTAGAAACTATTATAGAAAAACAAGAGAGATGACTTTAATTCAGAAACGAAATATAACAGACACTATAACCTTGTGACCAATGAAATAAGAAAATTGTTGAACAAAAGATATGACACTATAAAAAAGAAGGAAACATGGAGTTATTTAATTTAGAAATTCTGCAGATGAACCCTGCAAACTTCAACTGTTTCCCCTGCCAGAAATAAAATTAAAAATTGGCGATTTCAAGAACCTTAGAAGAAACTAAAATGCAAGAAATGAAATATTGAATACTTGTCAAGTTTTAAAGTGATACTTTTACAAGTAAACCTAAAGCTCTAATAATCATCAATTTTTTTTTGTACCTCAGCGTTGCTTTGTGTGGTTCCATGGCAGACTAAAATGATCCGATTTCTAGTTTTCCTTCCTCCAGAAGTTCCAGGAGCCACAGGAGAATTTGGTGTCTGCAATAGAATTAAGTCCATGGATAACAACTTTCGATAAGCTTCTGGCACTAAAAGTATCATAAAGGCCTACTGTAATGCTACTATTATGATGCCATAGAAAACAAAAATATATTAAATACTCTATCTATTCTCATATCTTTTGAAAACCAACAAAGGCTGGTATAAGTTCAAAAGCCTCTCAGCTTCTCAAATTATTTGTGATGACCCTACTACAGAATTTATGAAGCCTTTCTTTTTGTGAATGCCTTCCGAAACTTATCTTTGCTATAAGCCTTAAAAATATATTAATAACGAGAAAGCAAATCATTGTAGAATCTTACAATAAAGAAATAAAACATGCCTAAAAGCAAATAGTACAACTAAAGGAGATTTAATATCATGTATTCTTCCACAAAGATGAAAGAAAGTGAAAGAATAGGGGCCTAGGAGGATTACTTGGGTACTACACTTTTGTCGAACATAGGGGCGAGTATAACAAAGCAACAACCAACCACAATGAGGCCGTAAGTGGTGTTATTAGTGTGACCATGACTTGAAACGTAATCCAAAAGCTCTTGGAACACTTTATCCCTACATGATACTAGCAACTACTAATCACCACATAAATGTTAGATTGAAGCATGTACCTGATTCAAACGATTAATGCAAATGTGTGGCGGACCACCTCTGGGTTTTGGGGTGAAGTCTATCACACTGACCCCGCAGTTGCTCTGTAGGAGAATCCTAAAGTACTGTGTCCCAAGTCCTTGAGAGATTGACCAACTATTATGCTGGTCCTAACAAAAACAGGAGAGGTTCGGCCAGAGAACTGAAATAATATAAACAGCACATATACCTATTGCAGTGGCAACCAGAGCTTGGTTTACAGCATTATGAGCAACAACAAGCACCGACTTCCCTTCATGAGCTAAGATCTTGCTCCAGCAGCTTTCCGCTCGGTCCCACAATTCTCGCACAGGGTAGTGCCCATCGATGCTGAAATTTGCAGCATCCTTCTGCCATTGGCGATATGCATCCCCAAATTTCTGCTTTCCTTCATACTTCAGAAGACCCTGGATTGGTGTTGAGAAGAACAAGTTTCGTATCAATCCAGAAGCCCACGTTCTACGCAATACAAGAGGGAGGAAGACACAACGATCTGGTAAAAGACTAACTTGGAAAGAGTAAAGATCAATCTCCCTCAAGTCAGGTTCCGGAATCATCTCCTCCTGCCGAGTACCCCATATGATCTCGGCTGTCCTCTTGGATCGAATCAAGGGACTGGTACACATAACAAAAACCACGTTCCACACAGTCAACACAGAAAGAACCAAATAGCCGAATCCTATGTATCAATCACACAGCAAAAACTGCAAGAAAGCAGCCATCGTGATGTTGATGACATCAAAATATCAAAAAGCACCCTTTTTCACCTTCTTCCTCTTCTCAGAAGACTTACAGTCTTCAGAATGAGAGAGAAAAGATAGGCGGAGGCCAATAAGAAATCGAATCTTTAAAAGGTGGAAATTTTCTACAAAAGATCAAAGAAGAAGAGGAATTTTAGGAATAATGGACCGACCTAGTGAAGCAGACATCGAAGGAGTCGGTGAGGAGCATCTGTCGGGAGGTCTCGGCCTGCGACTCGCCCTTAGGAGTGAGCACGGACAGGTCGGAGCTCCCCTGAATACGACCCTCCTCGTTCCAGGTGCTCTGCCCGTGCCTCACCAGCACCACCCGCTTCGCCTCCCTTATCTCCGGCAGGGACCGCAGGAGCTCCGGCGCCTGACGGATCTCTCTCAGGCTCGAGCAGCAAGCACCGCGGCCGGGCCTGGGGCTCCTCCGATGAGGAGCACCGCACGCCAGCGGCGGTGGTACCAGAGCGAGCATTTCCTCTCCAGGTAACAAGGGCGAGGGCGGCCCGGTTATCGATGGACGGCGGATTGAGAAGGGACGGGACCGCCACCAGCAGCCTTCGGACACGGTGAGAAGAAGGGCGTGTGGCTTCAGTTGGATTGCCGCCGGTAGTAGGGATAACGTCACCTGGTCGAATGACAACCTGCCATGTTAAACGAATACCCGGCCCGACCCGGAATTAAAGGTAAATCCATCACCAATTCAGATCATATTATATGTATTGGGTGTCGGATCCAAAACGATGAACTTATACCCGACCCGTTTATATGACAATCCAAGTTCTGTTAACGTACCGTTATAAATGGTTGCATCTATGTATGATAACCGATATTTCGGTCCTTCTGTAGCGGTGCCGATACTAACCATTATAACAACGGTAGTCGGAGTGAGCGATGGGTGGTGCGACGATGGAGCCCGGTGCGTTCGAGCGCCTCTCCCCTTCCCGGTTCGTCTCCTTCGTGTTTCCTAACCCACAGCCCGGCGATACCTACGCCGACCCCCTCCGAGTCGCTGTCCTTGATTCGCCCCTCCCGACCCCGGCGCCGCCGCCCTGCACCGCCGCAATGCTCGTTCCCCCCGGCCGCGAGGACGACTGGATCTTCTCCACCGCCGCCGGACACCTCCAGCTCCTTCTCTCTTCCTCCTCCGATGATCGCCCCCTCGCCCGACTCCTCCTCGTTGGAGACGTCCCCTCCTCCTCTGCGAAGCCCTATTTCCGCCCCCAATCGGATGCTGACTCGGATCGGCTTCTCCGGTTCCAGCAGCGCCTCCTCCCGCTCATCCTTGCGCTCTCCCCAAAGGCCGCTTTTTGTGATGGGTTACCGGATATCCCTTTTCTCTCCTTCGAGGACGACGTCCTCCGTCTCACTCCGGTGGAGATGCTGGTCGGCCCTGTCGCCGGAGAGATGCTGGTGGAGGACGTGGAACTCGACCGGTCCCCGTCGGCGATGCCAGAGCTCAGGAGGAGGTTGCGGTTTAAGAGGATGCCGAATCTGGTGCAGTCCCAGGTGCGTCTCGTCCTTGATTCTTCTTCTTCTTCCTCGAGTCCTGGGTCCTTTCGGCCCGAGACAGGGTCGTTGGTACAGCCGTACCTCAAACCCATGGTTGCGGGGCTCTCTTTGATCGCACCGGCAGTCGGGCGGCAGGTCCGATCTGGTTTGATGCCACGAGCTCTTTGTGTGGGGGTGGGTGGTGGAGCTCTGCTGATGTCCCTGAGATCAAGTTTTGGTTTTGATGTGGTGGGAATTGAGGCTGATGATGTAGTTCTGAACGTCGCAAGACAGCATTTTGGATTAGCGGATGATGACTTTCTTAAAGTTGGTGTTGGTGATGGGCTTGTACTCATCAAGTATTTAAGCACTTTGAAGACTGGAAAAGATTTGAATTCGAGTTATGGTGTATCCGATCACAACTTCATTGCATTATTGGGAGATCATTCTTCTGGGTTTGATGCTGTAATGGTGGATTTGGACTCGGAGGACCCTGGCAGTGGTGTCTACGCCCCGCCATTGGAATTTCCTGAGAGGAGCATTCTGATAGATGTGCGCACAATTCTTAAGGATCACGGAATTGTAGTGGTAAATGTCATTCCTCCATGTCCATCTTTCTATAAACAAATGATTGATATTTTTGGTAAGGTTTTTGCTGAGCTGTATGAAATAGATGTCGGCAATGGCGAGAATTATGTACTTGTTGCCAGTGTCTCACCCGTTGAGATAGCTGCAAGCCTTACCGAGGATCCCTTTCTTAACAAATTGAAGGAAGTTGTCGGAGATAGATATGTGGGAGCTGTGAGAAGAATATGTTGAAGAATGGTGTTTCACTTAGTGGTAGCTCTGGAATTGAGAAGCTACAGATACTCTTTTCACCAAGTTATTTATCTGTTTTTTGTGACCATGAAATAGCACTGATTTGAATATTCACGAGATGTGGGAATATGGAGCTCGAAAGGTGTTTACCTTTACTTCATGTTTCAGAAACTTCTTCGTCACATACTTCTGCACATGTTCTTCATTAATAAAGTACTGATGGACCAGGTATTAAGGATTGAATTGAAGGGAATGCTTTCTGGATAGGAGGAGCTGCCAGGTGATCTCACTCTACATTTTGTCCTGGTACTCTTCTTCATCTTCTTGCGCTATTATTCCTTTGTTGCGTTCAGATTTACTCTCATTTAATCTGGCTTAAAATTGAAATACCATCAACGAAACAGATATTATCTTGCTGAGTGAGAGAGGGAAAGTTTTTAGTTTGAGGGAATAATATTGATCTAAAGCAAATGGAAAATGAATAAACTGATTTAAGTTAATATACTTGGCTGTTTCTATGTTGTAGATTGTGGGTGGCACTGTTTTGGTGCCCATTTTATCATTCTCTACATGCTATTACTCTTGCATGAGCATTTCTATGGTTCAACTTTTATGCGGTGCCTTATATTGGTTGGTTATATGTTCTTTAACAATTGTTTTAGCTCTAGTTGGAAAGAGAGGAGTTCTAGGCAATGATTTAGTCTTTCTTGTAATAAGATAATGGTCACCAATGTAGTTGTACCCAATGTAGTTAATGACGCCAAGGTGCTAAAACACCTGAGGCACTAGGCATTTGCCCGAGCGAAGCGAAGCACTCACAAATATTAATTTTTTAAAAATATATGATTAAAAAGAAATATGATCATCAAAATAAAAATGAGAAATTACATGTGTTCTATATCACTTTATATTTCAAATATCACCATCAAAACATCAAATTACATTCATTTAAAGTACCAAAGCACTATATTGTTCAATTCTAATAATAAGAATGACAAGAAAAAGGAAGATTACCGTTAAAAACCAATAATTTCTCTCAAGAAAGTCAATAATCACAAAATTTGCAGATGATAGACCATTATTAACAATCATTGATGTTATATTGCCAAGAAAACACAATAATTAACATTACATGATTACAGGAGAAAGAGAAAGAAATAAAGGGAAGGAGAGGAGGAAGGAGGAGGGGAACATGTAGAGAGAAGCGAAGAGGGGTGTAGCTATCGAGAAGGAGGGAGAGGAGGGTTGTTGAGACTGTTCTCATCTAGTTCAATAAAACTAGAGATTCAACTGCAACTGGCTCGACCTAGCGGACGCTTGGCCCGTCCAGCGTCCGATTAAAGTCACCCGCCCAACCCACTAATGGGGCTCGGGCCTCGCCTCACCTTGCCTGGGCACCTAGGCGAGCACCCAAGCGGTTGATGACTTCACTAGTTCTACCAATTATTATGATCTGCCATGACACTGATTCCTTCTTTATTTGCTCAAAAACTTGCAACTATATCTCCCTTCTGCCTTTAGGTTGTTCCACTAGCAAACTGTCACCATCTTACCGAACGTCTCCAGCTGGTCACCATTAGCAATGGTGATAGAGAGTTTCCAAGGGTCAACAACCTCAAACCCAATCATTGATGACTTTAAATCGACTGATGCACTCCAACACTTGCAGTGATCACTCATTAATCAGTATCCTCCCTCATCCTGTGCACCTATTGGCAAAAGAAGCTACAAGGAGATGGGAAAAGATGGAAAGAAGATGAGGCAGGTGGAGAAAATGAGAGGTAATAGGTATGAAAGATGAAATTACAGCAGCAATGTTCTGTAGAAATCCTAGTTTGTCAATTATGAATCGGTGTCATCCTTCACCTAACTATATCTTTAACTGGAGTAAAGCACATTAGTCACATTCCCAATTATGTGTTAGCCCAACCGTGCACACATGATCATGACGTTAAGAAACAATGGCGCGGATGATTTGATGATCCTTGGTGCAGGTATGTCGGCACTGGAGCAGAGAAAGAGTTGGCAGAAGTAATTGAGCTAGTTCCAGTCAAGGTTGCGCAGAGAACAGATTTGCTGGACTTGGCGCATTCTGATCATAAACTAAATTCACTTTGCTTTCATGCAAGCATTGATCTATGAAGAGGAATATTACTCGTGGGATGACTTGACTTTCAAATTGGCAGATTCTCAAGAAAAAGAAGCTAATATGCAGAGAAGCATGGCACTGAACATAAAAGAGGGAGGACTTTAGAGACTAAGCATCTGAACTCTTAGTGACAGCAACATTGATGTTTAGTTACCCGAGGTATGAATCCATTCATATTAGTAACTTCTGTTAGTTCAGTTGACTAAGAGCAGATGCATATTACTTTGCAACCTCACAAAACTTTATTTTCTGGACCTCTTTAGTAATCAGCAACTGCAATGCCAACTCTCCTTTTTCCTCAAACAAGCCATACAGTTGCATGTAACTCCTATTCTAACAGTGGGTACAGAACTCTTCAGCTGTTCATGAAGGATATCCAGGTACCTGGTGTCATTGTAACTCCTCTTCATAACCAGGAAGTGCCTTTCAGAGCACTCAACCTTGTTCAATGGGCGGACGATGATGCGCTTTCCGCTGAAGCACCACCAGATTCGGCAGCCCAAGGCCCAACCGGAAGCGGCGGAGTACTGGGCGGTGAACGTGACGGTGCAGCGGAGCCTGTGGCCGGTGTGGGTGATGGCGTCCACAGATTGGAGAGTCGAGAACCTGGTGGTGGCGGTGGCGCTGCGGCTCTACGCCAAGGAAGGCAGGCGGCCGCTACTGCTTTCGGCCTTCAATACTCTCGGTTCAGCCTCGAATGTGAGCAAAGACCATACCCGATCACAGACCCTTTCATGTCATCTAAAGCGAATGGTATCGATGACGTCGATGATTCTTATCAGGTTTGGATCCGAAAGAAATGCTGATTGATGTGGGCTCAAGGAACTTCTTCCTCTGCCTCAATCCTGCTACGTTTCACAAACTGCTGGCGACGACGGTACGCATGATCGATGACCTTCGACCGTTCTACTCTCATCATTGTTCTGCATCTGCTCCTTGCTCGCAATACACTCAGAAGCCATTCGAGTACTTCATCTGCTCCATTACTCGAGTCTCAATTTCTACTCGTTCGTTTGATGAGCTCCTCTGAATTGAATTCATCCTTTCTAGTGAACTGACATCCACACATCACGATAGGACGATGAACATTATTCCTATCAGCCCTTCCCAACCGCAAAGAGCTGAGAGCACATATTGCAAGCATAGCTCAGCTCAGCCGGTGGTGACACCTCAACGGAGCCGTCAGACCCTCCTACAATAAATTACCTGCGACAGCGTGGGATGCACAGAATTCGCATGTTCTCACCGCCGCCGTCGTCGCTTCAATTATTGGGCAAACAGGCCGTTCATCTCCGCTCGTACTCAGCCATGCTACGTTGACTTGACTGACCTCTCATGTTCTTCGCCGAGCAAGCAGGTACTTGTTGAACTATACATGTAGTAAGTAATTGGAAGCCATTAAATAGTTGCACAAGTCATGGCAAGTTGGTTTCTATGATTTCAGCTTGTCAATCTTCCTCCATGAGTAGCTATTGCACACACTCCATTCCATGTTGGATGCATGTGGTGGGTTGAAGATTGTACCACATGAATTATAGAAGATTCAGAGCGGCTGTTCTCTCGGTCTTATTTTACCCATAGTTCTCTCTCGGTCTTTTAGTATGTTTTAATAGTCAAACAACATTGTGATGAATGATTAGCGACAAAAAGAAAAGGGAAGAAAATGATTTTTTTTATCGAAATTAAAAATAAATATTAACATAGTTGAATAGCCTCATTTTCGATTAGATTCATCAATTTCGATTGATAAAAAAAAAAAATCAAATTACTTCCAACAAGATTGGAACCAAAAGTTACCAAATTTTATTTTTGCTCATATTTAATCGGTTTGAAACTGTTGATTCTAATTTAGGAATCGGAATTAAAATCATATGAGTAGAACTATTGAGCCGATTCGATTCTAAGTATGAGTTAATTCTATTTGGAATCGAAACAAACTGTGATCACAAGTCGTTAGGAACAGTAGAAACCATTATTACTTACTATTATTAATGCATGGGACCTGTGGATCTGCGCCGCCAACTCTTCTCGTGTTCTCTGGTTTCATCTTCTTCCTTTCTGTTGTTAGCTTCTGTGACTTCCTTTTTCTCCTTCGGGTTATACCAATTCACCAGCCTTTGGCTTCTTCTTCTTCTTCTATCTTTGCTCGGTTAGTCGTTTTACCTTGGGGATGTTTATTTATGGACGGTGGGATAGGGGGAGGAAACGACCATCGCATATAAAATGGCTGGAAGAATCAAGTAGCAGACCATCTTTCATCATTCCTCTTCTTGCTAGAAGCAGGGAAAGAGACCTGTGGCAGTGGGGTTAGATCTTGGTTTCGGGCGAGGAGCCAAAGAATCTTAAAGCTGAAAGCTTTTCTCTCGATATCTTCCTGTCGTCTTGCTTCATACGTCTATCCAGGGAGGGAGAGAGAGAGAGTAGGGTCACGTTTGTTCTCTTTCTTTCCCGGAGGAGAAGAGATGGACAGGCTCACTTCGACGGCCCTGCTGCCGGAGTCGTTCCAGGGGGCGAGGGACGACATCACGGAGCAGATGGGGATGGTGTGGCAGCAGATCAAGGCCCCGGTGATGGTGCCCCTGCTGCGGCTGGCCGTGTTCCTGTGCCTGGTGATGTCCGTCATGCTCGTCGTCGAGAAGGCGTACATGGCCGTCGTCATCGTCCTCGTCAAGCTGTTCGGCCGGCGGCCCGAGAAGCGCTACAGGTGGGAGCCCATGCGCGACGACCTCGAGCTCGGCAGCTCCTCCTACCCCATGGTCCTCGTCCAAATCCCCATGTACAACGAGAAGGAGGTCTCTCTCTCTCTCTCTCTCTCTCTCTCTCTCTCTCTCTCTCTCTCCAATGTGCACCTTGTTCCTTCGTCCTGAAACGCAACCTTGCAGGTCTACCAGCTCTCCATTGGAGCTGCGTGTGGCCTCTCTTGGCCGTCGGACCGCATCATAATCCAAGTGCTGGATGATTCCACGGACCCGGTTATTAAGGTAACTAAGATCGCCATCCCCCACTGCGCAAGACGCAGACATCCGCATGCATTCTCCTAAATTTCTCAGGTTTTCCATCGATTTCTGTCTTCCTCTGCTTTGTTCGTTCCTCCTAACCACCAAAGACATCTGCATGCAGGATCTGGTGGAGGCGGAGTGCCGGAGGTGGGCGAGCAAGGGGGTGAACATCAAGTACGAGATCAGGGACAACCGGAGCGGCTACAAGGCTGGCGCGCTCAAGGAGGGCATGAAACACAGCTACGTCAATCACTGCGACTACGTCGCCATCTTCGACGCCGACTTCCAGCCCGAGCCCGACTTCCTCTACCGCACCGTCCCCTTCCTCCTCCACAACCCCGCCGTCGGCCTCGTCCAAGCCCGCTGGAAATTCGGTAACCACTCCATCGTCTCCACCCTCTTCATTGACCGATCAACCACTACTTTTGTTCTCGCAACCAGATCACATGGATTGGAGAGACGCTCTCTCTCTCTCTCTCTCTCAGTTAATGATGGACACAAGTCTGAATCATGGATCATATGGGGGCACAGTGAGGAAATGTGAGCCTCCAGAGTCTTTTGTTCGAGCACTAATATCTCATAGCATCACGCGCCTAGATTTTGTGAAGGAGACAGCTTGTGGTCTCACCATGTTACTCCCTCCGACCTCTGTTACTTCCGAGGAGAGGAAGGAACAAAGTTCCTAGTGTCGGATTGCACACGTGGTCTCTGTTCCTGCACCTAAACTCCCCTGTCTTGCTTCCCTGCCGTCCGAGAGGAGAGGGGGAGAGAGAGGTCATCTGCAGTATTCATTCCAGCACCATCTTATCTCTCGTCTTTCTGACATCCCATGTGCACCATCTTTACCTGTGCTACCGAGCAATGGTGCCTCAAACCTTGTAATCAAACCGCATCAATGTAAGGACAAAACTAGGACCTGCACCTTGGACCGTCACCGAACGGAGGAGATGGCTTTGACTCGAGCAGACCAACCAGCGGGATACTGTAAGGCGGCCTGACTCGTGCCAATTTTGCAGTGAATTCGGACGAATGTTTGATGGCGAGGATGCAGGAGATGTCACTGGATTACCACTTCACAGTGGAGCAGGAAGTCGGATCCTCTGCATACGCCTTCTTCGGCTTCAATGGTGAGCCTCCTCTGCTTCTAAGAAGCCAACTTCTTGGTCATTCTCTGCAACATTTCCCCTGATGCGTCGATGCGCAGGGACTGCCGGAGTGTGGCGGATTGCTGCTCTCAATGAAGCTGGAGGTTGGAAGGACCGGACCACGGTAGAGGACATGGATTTGGCTGTTCGAGCGAGCCTCAAGGGTTGGAAGTTTGTCTTCCTTGGAGATCTCAAGGTAATCTAGTTTGGGTAGTCCTCCTTCCTGATGATCTCAAAGGTAATCTAGTACGTGAATTCAGGTCAAGAATGAGCTGCCGAGCACTCTCAGGGCGTACCGGTATCAGCAACACAGGTGGTCTTGTGGCCCAGCAAACCTATTCAGAAAGATGGCGATGGAAATTGCTAACAACAAGGTCAACTCACTCTACAAAAGATTGATCAGATAGAGATTGCTTGCTGTTCTATACCTGATCAAGCTTACTTCTCCTCTGCAATGCAGAAAGTGAGTCTGTGGAAGAAAGTACATGTGATCTACAGTTTCTTCTTTGTTCGTAAGGTGGTAGCTCACATTGTGACCTTTGTATTCTACTGCGTGGTTATCCCTGCCGCTGTCCTGGTTCCTGAGGTGGAAATACCCAGGTGGGGTGCGATCTACATCCCTTCCATCATCGCCCTTCTCAATGCTGTCGGAACTCCACGGTAAGGATCAGTCTACTCTTGCAGACCATCATCCATTGGGATGATTCATAGAAGAAAGGTCGATGATTCATGTGGTGACAGGTCTCTTCACTTGCTGGTGTTTTGGATCCTCTTCGAGAACGTCATGTCGCTGCACAGGACAAAAGCCACCCTTATTGGCCTGTTGGAAGCAGGAAGAGTGAACGAGTGGGTGGTCACAGAGAAGCTAGGAGACACTGTGAAGGCCAAAATGGCGGTCAAGGCCGCGAGGAAGCCACCGATTAGGATTGGCGATAGGTATTTCTTCTGTTCAGATTATGGCTTTTGCTGTGGATTTCTTTGACCGATACTTGGAATTTGTCCTCCACCAGATTACATCTACTGGAGCTTTGGACAGGCGCTTACCTCTTCTTCTGTGGGTGCTACGATGTGGCCTTTGGGAAGAACCATTACTTCCTCTACCTCTTCCTCCAAGCAATTGCTTTCTTTGTGGTCGGATTTGGTTACGTCGGCACGTTCGTCCCCGGTTATTGACGGCCGCAGTTGAGTGCATCGCCGAAGGACTTCATCTTCTACCTCGAAGAAACCATTTGTTTCCTCTCGTGTCGTGTAGGATTCTCCTGTGAATACACAGCCAAGCAAGCATCAGCGTAGTGGTCTATAGGCAGCTGATAGATACAAGGAAAGGAGCAGGAAGTCGTCAATCTCTTGACAGCAGCTGCGGCTGTGACACAGAAAACTGGTTGTATCAACCAAAAATAAGTTTTAATGGGATGAATTAGTCTAAAATGTATTCTTTCTTTGCATGGTTTTGATCGAGAAGGAATCGATAAATCGATAGATTGAAGGTAAGACTTTCATATTGTCATTGTTTTTGCTTCTGATAGTTTCTTGTGATGAGCAGATTCCTTGCAAGATTGGAGGATGAACTCATCCTCCAAAACAGACAATTTACTGCAAAAGATGAATCTCTATGCACATACAAATCGAAGATCCCTCGAGACTCCATTTAGGTACACATTGCTTTGAACAATCAAGCCTGGCTGCATGCTCAAAAGGAATCTTAATACCAGTAGAAACACATGAACATCACAGAATCAAGTTAATTTTAAGCATTAGAAGTCATCATGAATTCAGTTGGAGATACAGAGGCCCTGCCACAATAGAAACACCCTACATAAATTCAGGTTCCAACAAGAGAAAGAAGGAGACGATGATGACGACAACGACTAAGTTGATAATAGAAACACCAACTACCGAAACCCAGACGGCTGTGGGACACTATCTTCAGAGCAATTACAGGATGCCATTTGATCAACAAGTCCAGTCAGACTCCTAAACTATCCCTAACCTAACATTTAGCAAGAATATCGCTATGCGTGTTAGAACAGTGTGATAGTGTTAGGGTTTAGAGATAAGTACCCTGATGCTGCTCCCCATGTAAGCATATGTTTATGTCTGGAGAAGGTTTGTGCTCCGAAGACTGCAGACCCTGCCAACCGGCAGCGTGAAGAGTAGAGGTTGGAGTGGGGTTGCATAAGCTATTTTCAGCATGAGATTGTCCAGGTAAGGATGAGGTTGAGGTCTCACAGTCATCTTCAGGGTTTGACTGTGAAATGGGTCTTGCAGCTGTTAACAAACCACTTGTCTCCGGGAATGCTGAAAAATCTGCTTGCTGGCTAGGTTTTGGCTTTTGCTCCTTGAAAGTGTTCGGCATGAAGCTTCCGACCACCACCTGGTAATGCAACATTGAAGAGATTACTCGTGTGTAGATTTCCAACTCTATATATGGTCATCATCCTTGCTCTAATGCAGACAACCTTTATAATACACCTATTAATTCAACGTCGGAAGCAAGAGGCAGATTTTGATGGTATATAAGTATGGCTGATGATCTGATGAGTCGCGTATCGAAAGGTTATGATGGTATATAAGACCAGGCTCAATACTAGCAAAATAAGCATAAACTCTTTCAGGTCATGTGTTGATGGGGCATGCTACTATGAAATTGGTGACTGGTCCAAAAATAAAAAAAGATCACACATTTAAATTAATACCCTCGCTATAGGCTATCAAATCTGAGATCACCGGTTAGGGAACATTTGCTGCCAGCTTAACAAGTTACAGTTTGGTTTCCCACTTGATCAATATCATTTTAAGATTTCTTACTTATTTTGATATGCATGGTACATAATACAGAGTTGGCAAATCTTATTACAGCTGATGTTCCATACCAAAACATGAAATGGTTTACTAATCGGAGCAGTTTCAAGTGAACCTCCTAAAATTTTTTTCTATTGTATAATGTGCAACACATAAGAGATATGTGAGGCAGTTTTGGGTTCATATATCGAACTTCAAAAGGGATCAGGAATATAATCTTTAAAAGGGCTTATGTTCAGATTGCTGATGATATGGACATGCCTATTATTTGCATATATTCTATTTTAGACTGCAAAGTTCTATACAAATTTTACTAGAGTGAATTAATGGCAAAGCCGGACTGGCATCAGGGTGACTATGGTTTTGCATCTATCTGAACTGGGAGCTGCTAGCTACAATTACCATTTCTTCTTACACCACCTATTTGATGTTAGATGTCTCTTAGGCGTGTAACAATTCACTCAATTAAAAAAAACAAAAAACAAAAATGTCACACGATTCACCAAGTTAGACCAAGCAATAGAGCAAAATCAAATGGAAATAAGGTTAGTATTCATTACTTGAATTGGACTGGCGGCAAGCAACAATCCAGTGACTCCACCACCAATAACACGGCCGTCAGGACCAGCAAGCGACACGCTTATACCACCAGTTCTACTCCGTATACCACCAGTTTCTGTAATTGTGAAGGACCCAGACAGAGACAGAATCTCAAATCGGCCCTGCACATTTGAATGAGCAAGATTAAATTAAATGGATTATGTTTTGTAATTTAAAAAATTACAGAATAGTTAAGAGGTAAATGTACATCCAGACAACTTCAGAAACAAAATGAACGGGCAACGAAAAATGGCTTTGACAGTGCATCAGCTCATTCGTCAGTCAGCAGTTTGCCCATGTTGTGCCACAAAGGCTGTTCATGAACATATTTCCAAAAGGCACAGCATTTTATCACCAAAAAGATTAGGACCTTCTAGCCAACAAGTTTACATTCTATGCTTTGCCACAAGCCCCTCACACCTCCAAATGTGCATTGAGATGACAGATACTTGTTAACAATAGCTTAACCTTCTCTCATTACTTCGATTGAAATAATTATGCAAGATATTTCCTTTGTTCACATGGAAATTGAGCCTTGATTAAACAAGAAGTTTCTTTGATTAAGGATGTGCATGAAACCAATCTACATATATATCAAAACATAACTCATGAAGAGTACAGGCAGAGAGGAAGGTCTATGCAGTGTCTGTGTTATGAGGAATGACAAATTAAACTTGTTTAGTTGAGTTAAAATATTTTTTGAAGCAACCAAGATATGTTCAGCATAGCAACCATAAGAAACTGTGCCAAACAATAGAGCATGATTCAGTTTCTAATACATTTTATCCTATCAGTGCAACTAACTTCCATTTTGTATACTAAAACTTAGAGTCTTTTATCCATAGAAATTGCTAATAATGTCCTTATGGATTATTGGAACACTATAAATAACAAGTAAAACAAAGGACTCAACTTAAGACTTAACTGTATTTTTTATGTAAAATATAGAACTATTAACAAAAAATAATCGTGTGATGCAGTTTTTGATTTGGGTTGAACCAAAAATATGAGAAACCAAATGAACCATGATACATGCCGTCTTACTTTCTCAAACCAAACCAACTTTTCTGAAGTTCAATCCATACAAAATTTACTGTTTCAGTTTGATTCAGTTTGTCAACTTGGAGCAAAAAGCAAACTGAGGCAACATTCTAGCTATTGATATTAAGCCAATAATGTACTCATTTAAATGCATTTTGAGATCAAAAGAAAGGCCATACAGGTTCAATGGTAGAAGGTAAGGTCAAAGATGAACTACTCAGTTAAAAAATTGATGTCACTTGTGCTTGGTAATCTAAGTTTAAGATCATCATTCTTTTCAATCAATTGGATATCTAGTGAACTTCCAGCTTTCAACATGAGTTCTTCACCATTCATTGGATGTGAAAAAACTACTCAAACTTCCACAAATTTAGCCATTGACAGTAGGAAGAATTTAAACAATCAATTGACAACAGTACAAGGCAAAAATAGGCTCTTTCACCACTGCATTCTTCCTTTGAGAAAGAAAGTGACTTTAGATTATTTGTTTTCACCAAACCCTTAATTTGTGGATCAGCCAATTAGCCTTGGCACCGTTATTACAGATACAAAGGTGCAAGAGGTGAGTGCATTTCGACAACATGCAGTTAAAGAGAGCAAACACTGTGCAGCTAACATAAAATTATTGGCCCTTATAATATCGATGAGAACTTCAAAGCAATTAGTGCTTTGAGTAATCCTTTCTCCTGTCCAGGCAAATTTTCTTCGCATTGAAATTGACTGACTAGAAGCATAAGAAAGTTCAAAATTCTTAAACTTCGCCGACACTCTCCACTAACCTTGCTCACATAGTTTTAAAATGAAGAAAATGTGAACAAAATTTGGATCCCAGAATAAAATAATTCTGTAGCTGAACTGAGAACCAAGCAAAGCAATTCACAAACATGCAGAGAAAAACACATCGAACAATTCACCTAAAACAAGAGAGTAGCATCAAAATGGTTGCAGCTGCATACCTCATAAGTCAGGGTACCACCAGAAGAACCTGGCTGCCGCAAAGTAACATTGGAGATGACCCCATTTGCTGATAGTATGCAAATAGCCCGAGGACCCTTTTGGGAGAAGGAGTGTATTTTTGCAGCAACATCCTGCAACAAGAAGACCCATCAGCACACTGACAGATTGACTGCAAGATCCATATCACCATCACAGCTCAAGGAAACTAAGAATTGCCGGAAATATGTTACCTCCCCTGTGGCAATGGTCACAACATGCGGTGTGAAACTCCCTCCAGCTGAGTGTGCAAACCAATCTCCTGTTAAGCACCGAAAAGAAAGAAGAAGAAGAAGAAGAAGACAGATCAAAATGTGAGCTGAGTAAGTACTCCTTTGTGATGCATTTGAAGTACTTCATTTCTCATATTTCAGAGCGATTTCCGGCCAAATAACGAAGCACAGTCGTGCAGACTACCAGTTGATCTATCTACAACTTCATTGTTATTTCCAAGAACAATGCCACGACTTCTTAATCGGTATCACATTTCATCGGTGATCTATCTACTACTGAACTATGAGTGACTGAAAAAGGTAAACTACCAGTTGGTTGTCGTAACCTCGCTCCAGAAAGACAGAGAGAACAAATGATCAGATCGGAACATTGTAGGTTTTGATACAAAGAAGTAATCAGTATCAACTCAGAACAGCTTGAGAAATGAGGAGTGGGAAGAGTGCAATGTGGTGGTGGGGCACATTACCGAGAGCCTCAAGGAGCTGGCGTTTGCCGGAGCCGGGTGGTCGCCCTCTACCCCGTTTCCCGTCGGAAGAAGCAGGAGAGAAAGGAGAGGCGGAGCCGGAGGTCGGCGACAAGGCCAGTGCCATGCCGTCCGGCCCGTACTTCCTGGGCCTCCCTCTCTTCTTCCTGGCGAAAAGATCACCCTCGCCACCGCTGCTGCCGCCACTCCCCAACATCCCCATGGCCAAGCCAGCTCCTTCCGTAGGCGGAACGGTGATCCCCATGGCGCCAACAACCCCGCTGGAAAGTGCCGGTGGCAGAGACCGAGTCGGCGACAAGGGTGCAGCCGAAGAGACAGAATACTCCTTCGCTTCGCCTGCTCCTCCTCCTCCTCCTTCACACCCTGACACCACAACGCTCTCCCTCTCTTCCATGCTGCTCTGTTTCGTCCCTCTCACTCTTCCTTTTCAAAAGACCATCTTCGTTCCTCTGCTTGGGTTGGTGAGAGACCGTAGGGAGAAAAGCCGCCTACGGCAGCTGGGAGTGGGGTACCGAAGAGTCTTGAGAGGAATGCAAGAGAACCTCTCTCTCTCTCTCTATCTACATCTCTTTATAAGGTGTAAAGGAGATTTATGGGGATGGCAACTGGCATGCCCAGAATGCACTTATTCTCCGATTAATGGAATTGAATTCACGAGGAGATCATTTACTATGAGCATGACAAAGAAAACGACATTGTAAAGGTGGCCGTAAATGTAAAGGACTAAAGTGATGCATTTATTTAAAGAGGAGAGACGTCCAACATAAGTCGCTCAACCACACACAACAACCAATCGCACCGGCACACGTAGTATAGCCTTTGCTACCAGTAATACTTATTTACTTTTGCTTCACGCAGAACTTTTAAGTCTGTGTCTTGAATTGAAAGTGTAGGTAGGAATTAGGAAACCATCTCGCCTAAATCCTGGATGTCATTTATATGTCAAATAGCATTTAAGAATGTGAAGGGGCTACCAATCCCCACCCCAAACCTTCACCACATCTCTGAGACTTTGAAGCTCCTTCAGCCGCGCCAGGATGTTGACCGGGGAAGACCCGAGGAAAGGGAGGCGACAGTAGAGCCAAGCAGCACAGCTTTCTTCCCGGCTTGCAAAGCGAATACTGACAGCACAGGCATCAAAAGCTGCCGCCGTTGAGACGTAGACTTTCTGTCTGTCCGCCCTCTCTCTCTCTCTCGTCGGCGCTTCATTCCCCGACAGTTCTGACGAAGCTCTGACCCTGAGAAGTCGGGGACCGTCTCTCTCTCTCTTCTCCGCTTTGCGTCCATCTCGTTGGAGCGTTGCGGGTTGAACGCCTCTGGCCTCATGGATCGGTCCGTGGTCAGTCCGTCACGGCGGCACTCGAGGACGACCGGAAGCTCCACCAATGGCGACGGCGTGCGTTTGACGTTGCTGCTGTACGTATTGATGGGTTAATCGTCCGCTGCACGAGCGGTCTGCCCATCCCACGCTCTGCCATGCACGAACGATGCCCTCCGCGTGTAGTAGCTGACTGCCGGATACGGTACACGTACGCTTCTTTCGGAGTACACACAAACACACATGACGGATACAAAAGGACGTGTTCTTTATGATTTTTTTGGTTCTCTATAATCTGATAAATAAAACATGCCCAATTTCTTGAGTAAGCTCGCTGCTTGCAGCAGATTACCATTGTACTCGCTGTTGCTTCGCCTTCCCCGGGAAGTCTTGCATCGTATAATAATCGACAAAGATGGCGACAATGTAGGATTCCGTGCAAACTTACTTGAAGAGAACAAAAGGGGAGGAAAGCACTCGACCATCTTTTTCTCCTTTTTATATTAGCACGCTGGTAAAGGAAGGTAAGAAAGCTGCAAAGCAAGCAAAAGCGTAAGTAGGCGACAGCATCCACACCCACTTGGAAGCTTCATCATCGCTGAAACCTGTAATCGCCGCTCACGTACATGGCGACCGGTTTGCAATGGCATAGCTACTGAGAGGGCTGTGCTGGAACAGAGGTGAAGATCTACCTGTTGTCGCCGATGATGTGTCATTCAGCTACGGGAAGATGACGGTGGACCCACATGGGGGCCATGCGCCTTCATCCTCTATTAATGCAGTTGACTTTCAGTTCTTGAGATCCAGTCAAAGCGACAGTCAGAGAGTCAACGAACATCTGATGCATGGAAGAGAGAGAACAGTCGAGTAAGAGACAACTTCGATGATGAATGCAGTCGATGCCATTAGATTTCATATGCTCAACAAATTACAAGCCACGAAGAAGGAAGCATGCTTTACATTTACCCATTAATGAAATAGCTTGAAGAACTTACTGCCACTTCCTTTGTCCAAGGATCTCGCCATCTTTTGTACAGTCCATTAAATTAATTTACAGCTCAATGAACAACAACACTGGGCCAGAAATTTACTGGTACAAAGCTAGATTTTTTTGCTTTTTTCGTTTCGTGCCATTTGACGACAAGCCGACCAAACGAGGAAGGATGTATTCACACTGCCAAGGTGTTTCCAGCCCATAGAGACACAAGCTTGAGGTAGAAGTCACTCAAAATGAATGTAATAGCTCGGAAACAGGAGGTAAAGATGGCTTTATGATCATATCTGCTTTGTGACACCTTTGGCTGAGATGGAATTGGGAATCAGTTAATCCTCCCTGACTGGTCTACAAGGGTACCAACTTGGTCTCCACAAAGTGCCTTTGAGACATTGCCTGGTTCTAATAAATTAAAGATAACAACTGCAGATGTGTGAAAAGCAACAAGCTCAGTAACACAAATGCGTAAAATAATATGGTATTATTAAAGGATAAGGGTAAGAAAGAAAAAGAAAATACAGCATGGACATACCCGGTATGTTGTTTTCTTCACAGAAATTTAATGCTGTCATGTCCATTGCAGTAAAGCCTCTGGAAACCAACTCCCTGAATGAAATGTGCTCGAATGCACTACCACCGTTGTTTCTTGGATGGCAGTTGAAGACACCATCCATAGTAGTACCTTTGAGCACGGCATCTGCATGAACTGTGGTTCACATGGATCAGAGTTCTTAAATATAAAAACTTGACCAAAGACAACAAGCTTCAGGAATTGCTCTGTACGATCGATAGTGGCCCATATCCAAAGCAGGATAATTTAGATGCATGTCGGAACATACTCTCAGAGGCCCTCAAGGCAGCTGCAGTATCGGTGCTAAAAAGTGGATTTCCTGTTGCAGCACCAGCTCCACCAAATATAACAACTCTTCCTTTTTCAAGATGACGGATAGCTCGCCGCCTTATATATGGTTCTGCAATCTCTTGCATCAGTAAGGTAGATTGTATACGTGCCTCAACACCAATCTTCTCCAAGGATGCTTGGAGCATCATGGCATTCATCAATGATGCCATCATACTGCCACAATTCACATGTAAATAAAGCTTAGCCAACAAAATTCAACAAATGGATAATGTCACACTTCCATTGTAGAAACAAATGTGTTACTCTCTGGGTATGCATTCAACAGATTTAAAAGAAATGAAAGTTAATCTAATGATGCTAGGCTTTCAAGGGATACAAATCTCAATGACAAAAAACAAACATCAAAAGATGATTTTTTTTTCACAAGACAGAAAGAGAAAAAGAAGACAATTCTTATCAGATGAGACTCTGTGGAGACTGTGGAGGGTAAACAGAGGAATGCCGTCAGAGACCTTGTCTTGGTGAACTTGACATCAGATGCAAGACAACATAAAAAGGCTAACTACAAATTGAACTTTTCTTATCATAAAAGGCCCGACAAACCTTATTTTGGCAACTTCATTGAAGAATAGATTGTTCTTTGAGGCTAAGGACACCTGTGTTATCTTTTGTCCAACATGGTGGCAGTCTAAACTATGTAACAGACTCAAATTATGGAGTGTAATAAAGTTATGTCATTATTGCCACCTAATTTTCTTGGCTACATATGCTTTTCCAGTGTTTAGCTTCTTTTGTTTTTTGGAGAACTGTCAGTATATAATAAAAGGAGGTCAGCTAATAGGTTCTTACATCTTCCTCACCTAGCACCTATAATGTAACTACACATAATTTTGCCACTGGCTTTACAGGTATTTGAATGAGTGACAACTTGTTCTGATATGTAGAATGAGAAAAACAAACAAACAAACTCATTTCACCAACATGAAATTTCAGCTACATGAATTATTTGCCATCATTGAGCTGTATCAAAGGCAATGTGACAAGATATCTAAGGATGGAGTAACCAAATCTTCTTATATCATCCTCAAACTCTCCTGGCGGTTCTAATCCGAATGGACTCACCAATTCTTACTGGTGCATTTACATGCCATCATTGAGCTGTATCGAAGGCAACGTGACAAGATATCTAAGGATGGAGTAACCAAATCTTCTTATATCATCCTCAAACTCTCCTGGTAGTTCTAATCCAAATGGACTCACCAATTCTTACCGGTGCATTTACATGCCATCCATACCAACATTTTCAATGGTGCACCCTTTTTCTGTTTCATCTTACCTAGTGATGCCACACATCTATCTCAACATCCTCATATTTGTTAGCCTTTCTGATATGTTGACTTCTAATTGTGCAACTATCCAAGTTTCTAATCCCAATTTCACAACATCCAATGATTTGACAAGTGTATTTTATATAAAGAACAAGAAAAAGATGAATAAGCACCAGCAATGAAGCAAGAAATACATACCCAATTTGATAAGTTGTAGCCCTATCAATTCCAGTTGCAGCTATCCAAGTGTCACCACAAAAGAAATTTCGGCCTCCAATAACAATAGCTACCTGAGAAACATCACAAGCGAGGATAGCAGGAATGGAGTTATAACATATACAGGTTAAGAAAGCTTCAAATCCAGTATGAATAGACAGGTGTTGAGTGAAACCTCTAAACCAGCACGGCTTGCGATTGCAATTTCCTTAGCAATAAGCATAATTACCTGAACAGTATAAACAGAACATGCATTCAACTTCGGGTAACAACTTATGCATGCAAAATAGCTTCATTTATGATCAACCAGTAATATGGCCCAAACCAACAAATGCAGATAGGAGAATGCCAGTGTTCTACCTTGGGGTCAACATTCTGGGGCCCAGCTCCAGCTAATGCCATACCACTAATTTTCAAAATCACCCTCTTCCACCGTGGATTTGATAATGACTTCATCTTTGAGTTAATATTTGTGCTAAGAGGGCCAGATGGAGCAATGGGATGTCTGCAAATGTGATTAACGATATGTGTGGGTATTACATATTAACAAGGAGGGATAAAACAACCCGCTATAATGTTTCTAAGTGTCATGCTTTTATAGATAATTCAATAAATAAGAACACAAGAAAAACACCCAAAAATCTAATATTATCATTTGACATTGGAAAAGCATTTTTTCACATTTTCCATATTTGACAACAAAAGGAGAGCAGTTGCCAATGATCAGCCGTGATCCTATCAGAAATGGCTTTAAAGTTGTACATTAACAATAGAATAAATAAAAAAAAGGAGGGATGCTTACAATTTAAAGCATGCAAAACAGAAACATATTGCACAGATCCTACTACTAGTGAGAAAATGAAACTATGATGTTCACCCACTGCATGCTTTGATCTTACAGTGGTCCCACAGAAGCAAGTGGACTGTTTAAAACCCTCTGTGAACAAAATGGATCTTCTCCCTTCAAAATTTCCTATCTTCACAAGAGACATAAAATTTAATAACATCATCAGCACCTTTTCGCCCACTTCTAACCAAATTCCTATATGCTTAATAAGTGATGGAACAAATGAACGAACATTTCAGAGATCATCTATGAAGTTTGTTAATGGCCTGTTTGTTCCACTGAGTGTGGAGATCACTACCGAGATATAGTCATCCGAAGTCAAGTTCCATGGCCTTGGCATGAGTGTTTGGTTATCCAAAGTCATAAAGTACAGGTCCCCAAAAGCAAATCAAACAACTATCCCTCCCCACTTTCTTATAAAAGACTTTGGAGCTCCTTCCATCAAAATTCCCATTAGCCAACGTTAATGTCCCTTAGAAAGATAGAATCAATGGATTTAATGTCCCTTAAATCTATCAACTTCAGCTGTTATAGAAAAAAATTCTTTACTGACATAATGAGGAATTTCTTCGAAGCTTATCAATTACTTAAAATTCACAAAATCATGAGATGAATTTACCTTCAGCAAGCCCAAACAGAGATAAACAGTTCCACAATAGATGCAGATAGAAAAGTGTGAGGCTTGAACATAGATGAAGAGCTACAAACTCATCACTCGAGATGCATTGGTGCAAGGGAAACAAAATCAATTACCAAATCCCCATGAGAAAATGCAGAAATCTCGAGGAGAGAAGGGTGGACCTTTTGATCTGTCTCATGACTGCAGGAGGGCCACCAAGGGTGACGGATTTGTCATCGTCCGGGGCAGCCTTCAACGAGGATGACGAGCCAACGATCTGCTCCATCTTCTTAAACCAGGGCCAGTGGCTGGTTGGGAGGCCGCCAATGCTGAGCCTTTGGCACTCGACCTTGTATCGCTTCTTGAGGTTGTCGATCTTGTTCTTGCACTGCTCCACGCTCTTGCCCACCTTCTGCTTGTTGCAGCGCTCGCTGACGATGGTGGCTACGTCCTCCCAGTCCCTTCCCCGCAGGTTGCCCCGGTTCAGCTGCTCGTATCTCTCTGTGTACGCGTCTAGGAGGGAACCTATGGCCGTGTCGCTCCACTCCTCCCGGTCCTTGCGGTAGTCCCCCGAGGATGACATCGGCCTCGATTTTTTGTTAGCCGCCATGCTGCTGTTGTAGCAGTAGGGCGACTCGCCGTCGCTGATATCGTCGCGGTCCTTGCGCTTGGGCGAGTGGTGATGGGGCTGCTGCTGGTGGTGGATGTGCTGGAGGTGGTGGTGGTGGGACGCGGAGGTGGCAGCTCCCTTGACCTCGGGGTTGTCGGCATCGCCGTCGTCGTCGTCGTCGTCGTCGGCTGCGTGCTGGGTGGCGAAGGGATTGGCGTCCTCAGCGAAGCAGGGGTGTTCGTGGAAGGCGGAGGCGGAGGGGCATTTGGAGGCGTCCGTCTGGCCGAATGCCTCGCCATAACCCTCATGGTTCTCGCCTCCACCATCGACAACGACCCCCTTCTTTCCAGGGCTGACGATGACCGAGGGGGCGGAGGAGGAGGCAGCGCCGAGGTGGTGGTGGGCGCGGGGATGGAGGGAGATCGGCGTCGCCTTGGCGGTTACGTAGCGGTGGGCGGCGGAGAAGGGGACGGCCCGTGCCTGTGGCTGGTGCTGCGACTGGGCTTCGTCTCCTAGCAAAGCGAAGTCGTCGTCGCAGGAGGCCATGAAGGCGGCGGCCTCGTCGTCGTTAGGGTTAGGGTTATGGCGTCCGAATCCGAACGGGGCGGAGGCCGAACGAGACGGGACGGGAAGTAGACGACGTTAGAGCGTGGGAGACGGATCGCGAGCGGACGTCCACTTAAGTGGGTGACGGTGGGATCCCCCCGTAACTTGCTAGCTACGGGACCGTAACGTGCCGTCACGTCTCCGTTAGATAACGCTCCGCACGCCCGCAACCAGCGTGGGTGGGGCCCGACGGCACAGCAATAATGAAGCTCACCGCCCACCATCTCCATCTGTTCCCGATTCCGTGCCCCAACGACGCCCTCTTTTCCACCAACTACGTTAAAATATTAAAGGAAAATTATATATATCATTTTTTCCGGTGGAAACGGGACCGTAGAGCGGGAAACCATCCCGCGCACACCCATTCTAATATTGCATCAGACTCTACGTTAGAACGGTCACGGAGAAAAGGATCAATCGCTTATCGAGTGATCCACGGAACAACATTTCTTATCTATTTCCGATGTGAAATTAATCGGGGTGTTTCAATCTCTCAAATATTAGATCAGCTCTGATATGAAAGATCACGATTAGAGTTTGATTAGCTTATTGATTTATCAATTTTATTTAATCTAGACTAAAATTAATAATAATACAATCATCAAACCATTAATCTATGTTAAATTAATCACTGTTTTAGGAACCGAGTGGAACTTATCAAGTTTCTTATCCACGTCTTTCCCTATCGCACAGATTTCAACTTTTGAGAGAGTAAATCAAAATGTGTCAGCTTTATATTTTGCATTTATATGTTTACCGTTTATCTAACTTCCTAATCGATCAGAGAAATAATCTGTCCAACATAAAATATTTTAATATATATATATATTTTATGTTGCACTAACATGACGAAGTATTAACGTCATCGTGTATCGAGTTCTGGATTAAATCGAATATTTTTCATGTCGGTCATCAACATTGTTCATTATCTGTTAATAATTTTAACGCGAACTCAGCTTCGCTCGAGCTCGACTTATTTGAAGTCGCATGCTTGCATATGTTCCAACTCTATCGGCAATCGCCGATGCGGGCACGACGGGGCGAACCCGAGATTGGCCGCCCAAACGAAAGCTCGTGTCCGCCGCTGATTCGGACGCACGACGGAACCTCCATCATGATGCCATGCCATGCCGGAATCGATGTCGGATGCCGCAGCACCCATTCGGTCACCACACACCACTCGATGGGGCCCCCCACCGCGTTGATTCCAGTTTGGGTGTCGGGCGCGATCTATGGGCGAGTCGGTGTATTCTCGAGTCAATGAAACATCAACGGACGGGAATGCGACATGCATCCCTAGAGAATGGAAGCATCATATATTTGCGCTCTAGAGAGTTGGGTCAGAGAACGGCGTCTGGGGGCGGAGAAGAATTAGCATAACAAAAGGAGGGCACGCTTCTGTCACTGCGAGTCTTTTGGTTTCGTATCGCTGCTTCTTTCCTCGTTCTTCCTCCTTCCTCTTCGAGCGTAGTTGCAGCAGAGGCGCAGATCAAGAAAGATGCATTCGACCCACCTTCTCCTGGAAGAACCCATCAGGATGGTCTCCATCCTCGAGCCGTCCAAGCCTGTATGCCTTTCCTCTGTCGCTTGATCTTTGATCGGATGATTTTCTTTTTGGAAATATATAGAATCGAAACCTCTGCCAAGAGGAGTCTTCTATTTCGTTCCGTGATAATTGATTTGGTGTGACCTTTTGCCTCTGCAGAGTTTCTTCCCTGCGATGACCAAGATCGTGGGCACGCTCGGTCCCAAGTCCCGGTCGGTGGAGGTGATCTCCGCCTGCCTCAAGGCCGGCATGTCGGGTACGCCTCATGTTATTTTCTAAGCTGCTTCTCATCAAGAAGTCGTTTGAAGTTTTATTTTAATCAGCGCTCGGTTTCGTTTCAATCGGCTGATCGGGTTCTTCTCGTGACAGTGGCAAGATTTGACTTCTCGTGGGGGGACGTCGACTATCATCAAGAGACCCTGGAAAACCTCAAGACCGCTATCAAGAGCACCCAAAAGTTGTGCGCCGTATGTCTGCACTTTACTATTCCTCTTTTTGCGTCGTAGATACCGGTACCCCTTTCGACGTCTCCTTTTCTGCTGGTGGATGAAAGCCCTAATAGGGTTTTACAGATTCATGTAACATGGATCAAAGATTTTCGACAACTTGCTGGTGGATGAAAACCCTAATAGGGTTTTAAGCACCATGGATCGTGTCTCGGTACAACCCATTGGGCCGATGTTTTACTGTTATGCCAGCTTGTACCACTTAGCACCGACTTATGGTCTGGTTCAGTACCCGAGCAAATGAATGCTATATTTGACATCATGCTATCGTTCAAGCAGGGCACCCCCGACCATAGCAGAACACTAGATCCATTGAATTCATACAAAGGCTACAAAGCCCATATGTTGCTACCAAGGCCCAGCAAATACATCCTGCATATAGATGAAAAGATTTCATCACACGACCATTATGGTGTCGATCTATTGGATGGTACACCAACTTGTACCGCTAAGTGGTGATATATGTGGTCTGGTTCAGTAGCATACCAACCTGTCTTTTATACCATGCTATGGTGCAAGTGTTCAAGCGGGTCACCAGAGACCAGACAGAGCACAAGGTTCGTTTAATTCACATTAAGCGTACGAATCTCATATATTGCTACCAAAGCCCGATGAATACATCCTGCATATGGTAGAAAAAGACTGGACCTATGGGTGTTCAAACACTCTACACCCTTTTTCAATTTGTGGATATCAACCAGCCTAGTTAGGCATATGTTTGGTTCTTTTGACTTATAAGTTGGTCCTCTTTTTGAGTTGCCTTATCATGAGGATCTATCTTCAAATTCAGGATCAACCGACCATTTTTCAATTCTAAACAATTTTGTTAATTGATCATAAATCATTTTCCTGTTTCCCAGATCATGTTGGATACAGTGGGTCCAGAGTTGCAGGTCATAAACAAAAGTGAGAAGGCCATCTCACTTGAAGCAGATGCTTATGTTATTTTGACCCCAGATCAGGAGCAGGAAGCATCATCTCAGCTGTTGCCTATAAACTTTAGCGGATTATCAAAGGCAAGCAATTTTTTTTCCTTCCAATCATGCTCATTGTTGCTTGATTTAATTAAACCAACATGGATGCAGTGGATGAGTTGGGTCAATTAAAATTATTGGTAGGAGCAGTGGTTGAAGAGGACCTAAGCAAGCTTTATTAAGAAACAAGAAAAAAATGATACAATTTATGTAGCTTTTTCCTATCTTATTTTGGTTACAACATGCATGGTAACAAATTATCATTTAAGGCTGACTGTTAGACATTGAGCACAACTATATTATAACATAAAGACCATCTGATGGTAAGAATAGACATTTAGTTCAATGTGAATTTTAGATTTATTTTAATCAAATTTTATTTTCTATCATTTTTTTGCAGGCAGTGAAGCAAGGAGACACAATATTTGTTGGCCAATACTTGTTCACTGGTAGTGAAACTACTTCTGTTTGGTTGGAGGTATGGCTTTGGTGGGCTTGCCTGATCCAATTCATTGAAAACTGATAGCTGACGCAATAACTATGTCTCATCTAGCTGTTGAAAGGAACTAGTACTGCATTTCCTGTGAACGTATACTAAGTAGGATTGTGCACAACTAAGCTTGCCATACTTGGTTGTGTTAGTTGCTTTTTACATGGGCTATTGAGACTTCAACCGAGTTTTTATTTTTCTTTTGTATGTTTGTGCAGGTTTCTGAGGTGAAAGGGGCTGATGTAGTCTGCATAATAAAAAACACTGCTACACTGGCGGGGTCACTCTTCACTCTCCATGTCTCCCAAATCCATATTGATTTGCCAACACTTTCTGAAGCTGATAAAACTGTAAGGCAGTTCTTGACCAGCATTGCTTTTAGCATCTTATAAGGTTTCCTGATAGTGAAGAACTCTTTCACCCATTGTTTGTTTCAACTTTCAACTATGTAATTTTTAACGTGCATCAAAGAGCGACCATAAGAAGCTATGGTGTCGCTTCGTTACAGAGATAATATTGCACTAAAATGCAACGAATGTGACTTTCAGACGGAAAGAAAGAAGAGTTGTTGTTGGGTTATGAATTTGTAATACAGTTAACAACTTTTGATCTAACCAGGTCTTTCATCATCATGAATTTTCTGCAATCATTTTAAGGTCTCCCAGTACTTAACAAAGGACACATCCTTTAACCAAGGTGCTGACTGTTGTCCATGGGAGAAACAAATTATCATTTAAGAAATTCAATTACTGGTTTGCAGGCACTAAATTTGCTCATAGATTATTATAATCTCTTAAGTTTATTTAAAAGGCTTCTTATTCCATGCAATGTGTTGTCTATATTTTAGGCAATAAGTACATGGGGTGTCCGCAACAAAATTGACTTCCTTTCTTTATCTTATACAAGGCATGCAGAAGATGTTCGACAAGTAAGCTATTTTCATTCACATCACTTGTGTTTACCTTACAGTATTTACTCTGTTAAGAATATGAAAATTTTCTATCCCAATGTATTTATTTTCTCATTGGGAATTTATTTTGCCTGATCTGGAGAGACAAATAAGCTATTTTATTCACATATTTACTCTTTAAGAATTTTTAAACGCTCAATGCCACTTTTTTCATTGGGAATTTATTTTGCCTGATCTGGAGCTTGACTTGTTTATTTATCTAATAACATTGCTTTGCAATTTTCTATCACTGAATTCAGGCCCGAGAATTCTTGTCGAAGTCAGGTGATCTTTACCAAACTCAAATATTTGCCAAAATTGAGAGCGTAGAGGTCAGCTGCAAAGATACTTGTTATTAATTTGGAACATTTACCTTACAATGTCAAGTTTATAAGTTGCATTGCTCATTTTCTTTCAGGGTCTAACACATTTTGATGAGATTTTACAAGTAGCAGATGGCATCATTCTCTCGCGTGGGAATCTTGGAATAGATCTCCCGCCTGAGAAGGTGGGAAATTTGATTATTATGGCTATTTGAACTTATTACCTTGTTTATTGAATTTTGTGTAGGCATTATTACCTTGTTTGTTCTGGATATTTGAACTTGTTGGATTTGTCTCATTCTTCTTTGTTTAGTTCTTGGTTGAAATGATTTCTGCTTAAACTCTATAGTTAAAATACATAGCACTGTTGTCCTTTGACTACAGTGGTCTGTTTTTCTAATACCTCAAAATCTGATTCTGATCGTTCGACAACATAGATGCACTTTGATTTCTCATTTGCCCATTAATTATGTGCTGCTCCAACTTTGAAGTAGTTTCCATGATTGAGGATAAAAGCTATTCAAAAGCATCTGATATCCTAATTTTTTTATGATTAAAGTTATAAAAATAGTTATTGTATTTATATAAAAGAGTATGAAAAGAATTTGAATCTGAAGCAAGATAAGCTTATTAGTTGCCTATTTATTGTCATGGTTCTTATGATGCAGCCCTTAGCTTTGGGTCAATTTTAAAATAATTCATAGATATTGACGAGGCTCTTTATGAGTTTAGGCCCTTAGCTATTTTGATTATAAAATGGGTTAATTCAAGAGCTGTTAAAATAGCAGAAAAGAAGGAAAAATTGCAGTATTATCTCTTGTATTTGATGATTTGTAAAAGTTCAATTCTTTTGATAGTTCAAAATTGCAGCTGGAAAATGTGATCCAGTCATCCTTCTTTCTTTTATTTGTCATTAGAAAGTGTCTATTTCTCATCTATGTTACTGTAACTAATTTGGTTGATGACTTGTTGCCTGATTTCTGAGATTTTCCTGCAGGTGTTTTTATTCCAAAAGGCTGCTGTCTATAAGTGCAACATGGCTGGAAAGCCAGCAGTCATCACGCGTGTGGTTGACAGCATGACTGACAACTTGAGACCAACACGTGCAGAAGCAACTGATGTGGCGAATGCAATACTTGATGGTATATTCTATCTGTATAGGAAACTAATTGCTTTGTATAATTTTGGTCATGTCTTAAGTATTTTCCGATTTTATAACTTCAGACTACCAATTTTGATTCTTTCCAGGAAGTGATGCAATACTTTTGGGTGCTGAAACACTTCGTGGATTGTACCCTGTTGAAACTATTTCAACCGTAGGTAGAATTTGTTATGAGGTGAGCCTTCTGTTATTGTATAAGATTTTCTCCAATACTTTTGATTATTAATAATAAACTAATAGTTGTTCTGGAAGTATATAAAATATATGAAAAAGTTTGAATGACAGAAGAAGCTTTTGACATGCAACTTTTATTTTCATATATGCTACAGTTATACATAATTTTTTTAGTGGCTACTTCACACATAATTTTGACTCTTTGTATTGCCTTCATGTTGTCCCATTTTGTGTTCTTGATATATGATTAATCAGCATGCTGTTTTTGCCCAAAAAAACATGGTTGAATGAACAACAGAAAGTCAACCTATAATGATCACAGTATCAAACATACAAAAAACGGCTGTTTCATTAGCACGAGACAAATAATCTTTTAAATTTTGCCTATCTAAGACAATGTTGCTAGATGCATGTTCTATTCTATTTTGGTTACATGATCTCTAATCTTTTGTTCATGGTAGTTACAAAATATTACATGTTACTACGGAAGTCTGTTGAGGGTTTTTGGATGTCTAGATAATGAATAATTTATTTAGGAAAAACTTGTGATTGATCCTGTGAGGTTTCAGTCTTATCAAAGTTAAGTATTTTGGTGATAGTGGATGGATAGCATTGTTTTATGAACTCATTACGTTCTTGTGATTAATTGCTTTTGCAATGCGCATTTCTTTAGTCGCCACTCCCTTCCTGTCTTCACTTCTCTCTTATCTTTGTGTTGCATGCATTTGGATCATCATGGAAACAACTTTTGCAGGCAGAGAAAGTTTTCAACCAGGATTTGTACTTTAAGAAGACCGTGAAATATGTTGGAGAACCGATGACCCATTTGGAGTCCATTGCTTCATCAGCTGTATGCTATTAACTTCTTTATTCTTTAGCCACTATATAATGAAGTTTACTTTAGAGAAGTTAAGAGGATATGCTTTAGTAACTTTCCTGTGATGATTTTCTATAGGTACGTGCTGCTATTAAAGTCAAGGCTTCTGTGATAATTTGTTTCACTTCATCTGGTAGAGCTGCAAGGTGCTATTTCAGTTGAAATTCATTCAAACATCCATGTAGCTTTTGTTTTTTGAGGGCACACATCAAAAGTTTACACATGCATCAGACTTCCTCTTGTTCTTTGGTAGGTTAATTGCCAAGTATAGGCCTACCATGCCTGTACTATCTGTGGTCATCCCTCGGCTTAAAACAAATCAACTTCGGTGGAGTTTCAGTGGCGCGTTTGAAGTATGTGTTTTAGTACCCATTTTTTTATTAACTAGATCTGAGTTTTTGAGTTATGGAGATGATTTGCACTAGTAATAATTAAGGATCTCGTTTTCATTCTTTTTTATTATTTCCAGTAATTGATCTACCCTTGACATATGGTCGTGATTTTTGTGATCTTTCCACCACTCGTATTTATTTTATAGATAGTTATTAGCAGGTACAATGAAGTCAACACTAATGAAGCTAATAATGTTGGCAGGCTAGACAATCGCTCATAGTTAGAGGCCTTTTTCCCATGCTTGCTGATCCTCGCCATCCTGTAAGTATTTTCATTTCTCATCTTGTAAGCATCATATTATTCTTGTATTACTGTGGAATTCCACAGTACATATGAGAAAATTTCTTGCATTCTTTTGTAGGATATCTTGCATTGTTTATTCCCAATCAATTTATTCAACATGGCATATTTCCAGCCAAAGACTTGATGGTTCACTTGTTCAGAGGAATAATGTTTTCAGAGGATTAAATTGCCTCAATGTTGGTGCTGGTAATAACAGATTTGATGTGTTGATCTTGGAATCTGCCTCATGTTTAAAAGATTCTCACAATGCAAAGTTTGTATCTTTTAATGAGCAATTCGGACTAGGCTATGCTTGATAAAAAAAAATGAACTCCCAATATTTGTTTTATTTTTTCACAAACAATGCCTCAAGCTGTCTCTGAGGCAAAATGTATGTCATGTTGTCTTTGATATCCTGTCAAAGAGAAAATGGCCATATAGGAATCTTTAGTTTATAGCAGTGTTTTCAAAAGGCATTCACCTAGGCGAGGCTTGAATGCCTTGTAATTGGGTCAGGCGAGGCGTTTGAAGGAGGCACCACTCGGGCACATGCTTGGGCCCAGGGACTGGGTGACTTAGGCAGGTGTTCGATGCAAAATGAGTCTAGATTCAACCTATTTTACATAGTTGGCTCAATCAAACAAACTATTCACATCACTTACATGCCCCATCCACAACCCAAACAGCATGCTCTTCTCCCCTGCCATTGCATGCCTGACCTAGCGTAAGGAATTTGAAACACTACCGTGAGCCGCCTTCGCCCTATGTTGCTAGATCACAAGCTTTCTCTGCTCTACACGGTCGTGCTGCAAGCCTCATCCACCCTATGCCGTCAGATCTTGAACTTTAGGGTTGGAGTTTTAAGGGGAGACGGTAGAAGAGTCGCGGAGGAAGGAGGGGCGGTAGTTGAGGTCGTGGGGAGGGGGGTGTGTGTGGCGGCAGAGGTGAGGCGACGATGGCAAACCTGACACCTTGATCTATTACTTCTCCGACCACCACTCTTTCAATGGCGACAACGTGCTTGGTGATGCCAGCGACAGTTTCTTTTCCTTCGGCGCTAGGACTTGTGTATGTAGGACCTCTATATGAATCATATTAGGTAGGAACATGGCAACTTTTATGTCTGCTGTTATTTCTTGCAATGTAAGTTGGTACTTTATATGAATGTGTTATTTTTATTTTTGTTATCATATTTATTAATCATAATATATAATTTTAAAATTTTTATATTTGGGAGTGCCTCTTTTTGCTCGGGACGGGTGGGCGCTTAGCACTTGGAGTGTTTTTGGCATCTTGTCGCCTAGTGCTTTTGGAAGCACTGGTTTATAGCTGCATGAGATATAAACATGGTAATAATAGCTAATCAAACAGTTCCAGTCAAAATGATGTTAAACCAAAGGGTGGGGTCTGTTAATAAATTGATATTTTAATATTGTCATTGTATGGGCTTAATTTAGCTGTTAGTGGTGGGATAATTGTTATGTTGGAGACTGATCTTTATCTTTTTACACACTATTGGATTTTGTAACCTTTTATTGCTCAAAGCTTATTTCTACTGTGCTTCTATTTAACGGTAATTATATGTCATATTTCCTGCTTGATTTGTTTTATGCAATGCAGTTTTTTGTCTTGTATTCTTTCAGGCTGAATCTACTAGTTCTTCCAATGAGTCAGTTCTGAAGGTTGCTCTTGATCATGGCAAGGCCTCTGGTTTGATTAAGACTCATGATCGAGTTGTTGTCTGCCAGAAAGTTGGGGATGCTTCAGTGGTGAAGATCATCGAGTTGGAGGATTGAAGAGCTGTGTTCTCTTGGAGTTCCAGATGGCTGTATGAACTACATGTATTATTCATTTTGTGTTTACCCTGGAGAGTGCATCCAAAATAAACCATTATCCAGAAAACAGTATCTGAAGTTGGTAAGATTTCAGATCGCAGCGCATGTTGGGTTTTGCTCAAATACCTCCATGAGCTGCAAATTATTGCATTATTGAGAAATTGCAAAAAACACAAGTTGAAATTTCTTATGTAGCTTGGTTAAATAATTATTGGGCAATTCATTAGTTAAATAATTATAGCAAGCTACTAACTGAATTATGGATATGTTTATATTTGGTCTGCTCGCCCTTCGTAGATATATGTTCATTAGTTAGTTAATTAATTGAATTTGCTGCGTCAGCCTAATTCGAACCAGTTTGGTCTTCTTGAGTTCCTTGGGAATGTTCAGTTACGTTAGATCGAATCCCTGTCAGGTCCAGGTTCGTGGGACTCGACCGACGCGACTGCACATGGTAAGATCTCGGAATCGGACACGAGCAGGATAACGTCTCCTCTCCCCTTGTTCGTTGGTTGGCCAGAGAGCGGGCACTGCTTCGCGATCAAACAACCATGGCGACGCTCGGCCTCAACTGTTATTCCTCTAGAATCAGAGTCGCCAGGCGGCAGCCCGCACCGCTCCCTGCTTCCTCTCTTCACCCTCTCTCCAAGCCCCGCTCCTTTCCTCTATCGCTTCTCCCCCCTCCCGCTACCCACTCCGGAACGCGGCGGCCCCGGCTCCAGTCGCCATCAGCCTCCGTCTCAACGACGTCCACCGCTGCTGACGACGAGGAGGACCTACAAGAGGAGGCCGACGAGGAGGAGGCGGTGGACCCGACGGCGGAGTTGCGGTTCCTGGACCCGGCGGTGGATCCCGGGAGCATCCGGGAGTGGGAGGTGGACTTCTGCTCCCGCCCCATCCTCGACGACAGGGGGAAGAAGCTGTGGGAGCTCGTCGTCTGTGATCGCACCCTCTCCCTCCAGTTCACCCGATTCTTCCCCAATAACGTCATCAACAGCGTCACCCTGAAGGACGCCATCGCTTCCATCAGCGACATGCTGGGCGTGCCCTTGCCCGAGAAGATCCGATTCTTCAGGTCGCTCTTTTCCCCATTTTTGTCCGCCTCATTTTGCCCAGTCGCTCACCTGCTTCTCTCTTTCAGGTCACAGATGCAGACGATCATAACCAGAGCTTGCAATGAGCTCGGAATCAAAGCAATCCCCAGTAAACGGGTGTGCCATCTCCCTCCTTCCCTCTCTTTTCTCCTCATCCTCGTTTCGTTTCTTAAAGTGGCGATGCTTCACATTGAGAATATCCCTTACATTAACAAGAATTCATGTTCCATTTTAACAAGGCAATTCTAGACTTGATAATAAGAATTGCTGAATCTACAGCTTTTAGTAGTCACCTATTTGTATACAGCATGTCATTACCTATCAAGATCTCAGACGAGAGTCCTTGGAATCATTGACATGGTTTACTTAAAATGGGAGGCATCCGTGTGATCCATTTGCCAGATTAATTTATGCACGGATCGGATTAACAAAGAAACACAGAGAACTTGGTGTGCCATCTAGTTTGGATTTAAGTGGCACCTCTGGGGAATTATTGCACATTGCAGATTGCTAGAGGTCAACTTAATCATAAGAGCTTTGCCCATGCGACTGCCTTGGTCAATTCACAGGCAAGAGGTGAATGACTTCCATACTTCCATAGTTTGTTCTTTTTCTGACACCAATAAGTATGTTTATTCTGATGAAGTCTTTAGACACCACTTCTAAGTTTAGAAGAAGCTCCCATATATCTCAAAGAAAACACAAGAAACAACTTTGCTCACAGTTCTAGATTCTGTCCAGCGGAAATTTATGGCCGGTGTGTTCGCAGGGCAAGTTTCATATGTTTAAGGTTTCATGGCAGAGTCAATCTTATGCAGATCTTGAGTGCAGTGGTTACGACATCAACTTTTCACAACTTATCACTTTTAGCAATGTCTCATGTTGTTATAGTCCTTATGATTTGCAGTGCATAACACTTATTTTATGGCTGGAAGAGCGCTATGAGACAGTGTACACCCGTCATCCTGGTTTTCAACAAGGATCAAAGCCACTTTTAGCTTTAGATAATCCATTTCCTATGGATCTTCCAGATAACCTCTTTGGGGAAAAGTGGGCATTTGTTCAATTACCTTATTCAGGTACATGCTGAAATTTCCTTGAAAAAATAAAAGTGGCTAGCTTATGAGCTTCTCCTTTTTGTTGGTTTGTCATGAAAAATAATTATGGCATGACTAATAAGATCAAAACTGCTTTTGGCTGTACTTAACCTTGTTCTCTTTTCTAGCCAAAGTAATGAAATCAATGACTGCAGTCGAGTTTATGATTTTAATTCTAACTCTGTTTGGAGAACTGTGAAAACTGAAGAATTAGACAAAAGACTCGGTGAAAGAAATTCACGAAACAACATTTTCTATATATGCCTCGAGAGATCATCTCTAGTGAACTTATGTGCTTCCAATAAATTGCTAATAGTTCCCCATTACTATACAATGTATGATTTCGACAGAGGACATGGTCCTTTTTGGTCTTTGTATCTTGAATTGATGCTTCGGTTGAGTTATTTATAAACCATATTTGTTGTTTCCTTGAGTCCTTTTTGCATACTGCCTGGTGGCATATATTCAATTTCTGAATGTTTGTGGCATCACCTTGTCACTTCAGAAGCTACTACAAACTTTGATTGATTTGGAAGCATGAAATGAAGAAGGAAAAGAGACATTTAACGGGGGTAAGAGATAAAATAGGAAATAAAATACAGAAGGGAGAAGATATCCTAAGGTCCTTACAAGTTGTTCATAAATCTTCCTGTCCGTTTCAGCTGCAAATTGCTGGAAATAAAACAAGGTTTTGCTGAATCTTAATGTAATCAAGCAGACAGGAAATGTAAACAATTATAGACCTTACCAAAAGCACAAAGTTGTCTTTATGTTTAGAGTGCCTACTTCAAATCAGAACTTCTCAGGTGGATCCCATAGGGCCTAAGAGCATTCTAAATGTCATCATAGTCTAAGAATACACAGTGTCACTGTTCTTAAGGAATTGTTTTGTGAATTTGTGCTGAATGCACCGTTTCCCCTCCATCTCCATTATGGTGTCTCTTCCTCAAGGCTGTTTCTTTTCCTGTCCATTGGTCCTGCAGTCTAATAAGCCTGGGAAAGACCAAGGTTTGAAGGACCATTCTCATGTTATTTGTAAGTCGATGATATAGTAAAGTGAGAACCTAACTGTCCCTTTGCTAGAGTGTAAGACACTCCAATGATACAGGTGGTAGACTAGAAGAGAAAGGTTTTACCCTGTGGAACTTATTCATCTCTGGAAACATATTTTACTCTCTTTCTTTTGGGGTGAGGTGAGACACTTGCATCTATCTCGAAATTGTGTTGTAGCCATCATTTTATTTTTCCCCCTCCTATTTCATAGTTCTGCCAATGGATAGTCTTATTCTTATTTCTAACAGCAGAATGTTTTTTTATTGTTTTAGCTGTTTTGGAAGAAATCTCATCTTTTGAGACAAGATATGCCTTTGGAGGGAGCCTGGACTTGGACCTTTTGGGCTTTGAAATGGAAGACAAGACATTGGTTCCTGGGCTTGCTGTTGCGTCTTCACGTGCTAAACCTTTGGCAGGTACATTCTTGGAGTTTATGTCTCAAATTTTTCTTTCTTGAGTGCAGGGTTAATGTCACAATTATGTACTCAGAGAAGGAAACCGATGTGCAAATTGGTTGACTGGCTTTGTCAAGTAACTAAAAATTCCTTTTTATGGAGAGGCAATTGCCCGAATCCTCTTGCTTCCTTTTTGAGTGCTGATTCTTCTAGCACGGGTTATATTCACTCCTTCTTAAGTAATACAAGTTCTTTTTGGGGGAAACAAATCACAATCGTACAATATAGTTCTGAATGTTTAAATCACTGTCATATAACAGTAGTTTGAAATGGTGATAAGAAGTATCTGCAAAGCATTATATACACACTAGTGCAATTTTGATTCTCTTATGTGATCCAGCTCTCTCAAACACATTGGAAATTGCCTGACCAAATGCGGGTGTTTTATGATGACCAGCTTGGATGAATGGCTTGGAGGTCTGCTTGGTGGAAGTAGATGTTTCCCGGGCCTGCTTGATTCTATCAGTTGGAGTTTCTACCAGGTATATCTACGCCACCTACAAGAAAAATGCAGCGACGACAAAGGAGGCAGAGGCTTGGGAAGCTGCAAAGAAGGCGTGTGGAGGTCTGCATTTTCTTGCCATCCAAGAGAGTTTCGATTCAGAAGACTGTGTTGGGTTTTGGCTCCTGTTGGACTTGCCTCCACCACCAGTGTAATGTAAGCCACTCATTCCAGAGTATATATATACATATGTATGCATAACATATATACATGCCTATGTATACATGTACATACATACATACAAGCATATACATATGTATACATATATATATATATATATATATATATATATATATATACGTATACACATGTGTATATATACATATATATACATACATACATACATACACATACATATATATATATATATATGTACATATATATATACGTATACACATGTGTATATATACATATATATACATACATACATACATACATACATACACATATATATATATATATATATATATATATGTACATATATATATATACATACATAATATACATATATACATACATAATATACATATATACATATATATATATATATATAAGTTGTTTTGTCGATACTAATGTGCATATTATTACTGGCAGGGCAGAAAAACTGGAACCAGAATCTCACATTTAAAGAATCAAGATGTTATTCGACTCCAAGGAGGAGGTCCTCAGCTGCTCCTGGCATTGTTATCTCAAAAGCATGTAAAAGAACTCGGTGATTGCACCAAGCTACATCTAGAAGAAGATGACGGAGAAATCTTTTTTTTTTTCTTGTAACACTTATCAACCTTTATCTTTTCATCTTTATATACTTTGTGTGAAGTGGGCTTGCAGCTGTCTTTTGGACCTAGTAATTTGTTATGGAGAAGCTTGTTCAATATGATCAAAATGCTTAAATTGATCATGTCAAAATCAGGTCTTTTTGTCAATAGCATTTTATAGATATTGGTATCCTTTATGTTGTTGGATGCAGTTATTGGTTGCTTTGATACGTTTAACTCATCAAATCAAATCATATTTAAAGAGATCACATAAATCATGAATATCAAAGAAATTTCATTCATGATATCACAAAAAATCATAATTCTTCATATTACTATTTATTATAATTAGCACAAATATGTTAGCATGTATAATCCAAGAGTCATTCTATGGGTTGTACTTTTTATTATCAATTTTGATATAAGTATATAATCATGTAATATAAAACATACGAGTAAATAGTCATTTTGGTGTTCTCATAAGTGTTTTTATATTTATTTAGATCTTTTATGGTACTGTTGGCCCGAAGACTCACGCGATCTCTCTTCATAAGTGTTTTTATAATTCTTTAGATCTTTGGTAGTATTGTACTTCCAAAGACTCTCGTGACCCTTTTTTTTTTCCTCCTTTGTTTCTTTCTTTTATTTTTTTTGTTTTATCTTTGCCATGACAGGAGAGGATTCACAAAAACATTTTGTTGCTTTAATCCCTTCCATTAACGACGCCGTCTCTCATTGAATTAATGATACCTCTTGGAGATGCATGATTAAAATTAGTAAACTTTATGATAAGAGATCTTGAAATTATATTATTTAACTCAAAGCCCTTATCTTACTATCTTCATGATATTGAAGTTATTGCTGATGAACTTGCTCTTCTTGGTGCTCCGATCAATAAAGAAGAATTTGTTTTCTACCCTTGAAGGCGGTTGTAAAAAATCTTGTGATTCTTAATCGTGATAGTCCAATCTTTTTGGAGAGTCCTATGATAAGATCATTCATCATGATTGATAGTGATCCTTTACGTCGTGGCAGAGGGAGTCAGCACAGCTTGGTTCAGCCTTGAGTGCACAAGATTGTCCATGTCGACACTCGGGTCACGGGGATTGTCGTCTGGTGAGGTCGGGCTTGGGCTCTGGCTTCAGAGTCTAGAAGCTCCCCTTGGCTGGCCGCCTGCCTCTTTATCTCCAATCCCTGCACACAGGTCAGGGTTGTGAAGGGGCTTCCCGACTTCGACCCCTTCGAAGATCTTGTTAGTACTGGGTGAAAAATGAGTCGAAGACCATTGTTACCGCCCCCACGAGGGGTTTTTATCTTTCCGCCAGGGACCAGTCGTACCTATCATATTTATGATTGCCGGCGTTATACTCGGTTGGCGTCGTCCTAACTCTTGCGGACCGACGCAGTCCTCGGTCGACGTCGACCTGGTCTTTGCGCTAACCCGATCTTTACGGGATGACGCTATACTTGGTCGATGTTGACCTGGTCTCTACGGGACGGTGTCGTATTCGGTTGGCATCGTCCGACCTTTGTAGGATGACGTTGACAGGGGGGTATGCTCCGATGTGTTGCCCTTGATGTTGATGTGGTCGATGGCGGGTTACCAAAATATGCCACAAATTTTTTTGAAAAGATAAAAAGTGATGATTATATATTCAACGTTAATGTCACATGATTTTTTGATTAATGTAAAGATGATAAAAAATCAACATCGCAAATATTAAAAAAATCCTCTCTTGATCCGTCTCTATCACCCTGAGGATAATCAACGTCGCAAACGCAAAAAAAAAATTCTTGATGCATCTCAAGTACCCATGGACAAAAACAATGGATATATTATTTATAAATATTTGAAGTTATACTCTCATCTATATCTTAATACTAATATTAATCATCGGCAACGTACCATGTTATGGAGTATGCTAGATAAAATAAAATCATATCCCAAGAGATCACATAAGCTATGAATATTTGAGAAAAATCATTCCTGATAAGGATTATTTGCATATTAATTGATGATTTTTCACATTTATTCTTGATTATAACCGGCCCGTATATCATAATCCATCAATCATTTCAGTAATTTTTATCTTTTTCCTATATATAAATATGTAATCATGAAACACAAAATAGTAAATAATAATCTGCGTTCTCCACATTTTAATCGGTAAAGATACATGGATTTGGTGTCCCGCCCAAGAAAGAGACCCAAGTCGTGGTGATTTAATATAGATCCTACATGTGAATGCACAATTGATTGAATCTGCTTATAAAGGGTTAATCTATTCACACACTTACAATATTGGGCGAGCGTCCAATAAACACAAAGGCACCATATTGACTGTCAGAATAAGCAGCACCAATAAAATAAAATAAAATAAATACTAGCAAGCTGGAACAATGACACAATCGACGCAAAATAAATTCCCCCATGACGCCTTTTCCTCGTTTACGAGTAGGCCTTATAGGAACACAAGAGAAAAAAACATTTATCTCTAATTTAATTAAAGCTCAACACATGACATCTTAGTTACTTGAAAAGGACTAACAAAACTAATATACTTTAGTCACAAAGGGAGATGATAATTTGTCCGTAGAAAAGATCACGTCCATAACTCTCACTCCCGACATCAATCATTGTGCAAGAGAAACACTTCCGGACTATTCTACATCGAAAGCTTTAAGACCTTAATCATAACCAAAATTCCTTTTACAAACATAAATAATATACGAATCAAGCCGAATTCAAGTCAACCACCGACATCCACATATGATGATGCAATGTTGATGACCTAACATACATAATTTCTTTATATGAGGCATTATTATATACAGTCAAAAAAAGTGTGAATGTATATATATATATATATATATATATATATATATATATATATATATATATATATATATATATATATATAAAATGGTACTTCGGAAACAAAATTTAAACGAAAAACCTCTCACTCGATTCCCTCTGGTACTTACTATCTTTAATTTTTTTTATCAATAACATTACATCTAATTCTAATTTATATTCTTTACACTATTATATTCCACGAATTTTCGACTCTTTTGTTTCTGAATTTCACAGAATTTCGTAAACGAAAATGTATCAGTTCTTCGTTACAGTAAAACGCCAAACTTAAGTGAAGGAAAAATTACAAAGATACCATAAAAGAACTCATTCCGGGTTTTCGCGTCTACTTGTGGTCATCACACCATCATGCTATTGCAAAGGCAGGAATGTGCACGTTAATTGCCCGCTGCAGCGCATTGAAGCCTCCTCCGTCTTAATCTTTCCTGGGGCGACAAAGAAGACAAGCTTTAGACCGTAGTAGCAGAGCTAGGATTGGCATTGGTGTTCTGAAGCATTAGCTGCTGCTCGGCGGAGGAGGAGACGCCACCGCCACCGCCACCGCCGCCGCTGCCTCCCTGTATGAGCTCGAGCTCTCTTTGTCGGAGTAGCAGCGCCATGCGGTCGTTCTCAAGGCGGAGGCGTTCGTTCTCCAGCTTCATGCGCTCCATCTCGCGTCCCTTGTTAGTGCTGAAGCGGAGCCATTTGAAGCGCTGGCGCTCCAGTTGGAAGGCCCGGCACTGGTACGCCACCCGCTGCTCCTCCAGCTCCGCTGCCTTCCTCTTCAGCCACTGCCGTTGCTGCTGCTCACCCCCGCCGGACATGGCCACCATCTCGGACCGCAACTGCTGCACGGAGCTGGATGGCGACGACAGCGTCAGTGAGAGCGGAGGGGAGGCTGACGTCTGAGACGCCGTCTTCCTGTGCTTCTTGTTGTCCTCGTCCTCCCCCACCTCGTCGTGCTTGTGTTGGTGGTGGTGCCCGTAGCGCTTATGGTTGTGTCCTTCCATGTCGTCGTCATCATCATCATCCTCGTCATCGTAGTCGTCATCGTCCTCGCTGTCCACATCATCGTCATCGTCCATATCTTCCGCCATTCCCTCCTCGTCGGCGACGATGGCGGCCCTGCTACCTCCTGCAACCTTCCTCGTGGACAGTGCCGTGTCAGCTCGGCCAGGCGGGTGGTGGAAGCAGTGCTGCTGCTGATCTGAGGAATGGGGCGGCGGCATCTGCGGAGGGGGAGGGGCGGCGCAGGCGGAGTAAGCTCCAGCGTTGTGGTAGGCGCACATCTCGCGGAAGAAGAGGTGCTTGGAGTTGAGGAGCTTGCGGGCTTCCTCCTTAGCCTTGGGGGAGAGGTCCATGGTCTCGAGGAGAGCCTGGTTCTCCACCACCCGGCAGGCCGTTCCCTTGCCAAGGAGGTCGTTCACCCGCTTGTATCGCTTGTTCAGGTCGTTGAACTTGTCCTCGCACTGCTGCGGCGACACGAAGAACCCCTTGTCCATCATTGCCCGCGACACCGACTTCCACTTCCCCTTCTTCTGCAGCAGCGCCGACGCCGACGCCGATGCCGATGCCGATGCCGATGCCGCCGCCGCCGCGGACGACGACTTCTTGCCCTTTGCAACCGAGCCCTGGGGTTGCTGCTGCTCCCCCTCCGCCCCACCGCCGTCGTCCCCCACGCGGTAGACCACCTGGATGAGGAGCCGGACCATGCCGTCGGTCCACTTCATCCGCTGCCACGGAGAGGCCGACGGCGACGGCTGCGACATCCCTCCCCGCCGCACCTGGTCATCGACCTCGTCCCCGTATCTGGGCTCCTCCTCGGAACTCATGGCCGGCTGCTGTTTATCCCTGACGTGGCCAAACGGGGGCACGTACTGGGCGTGCCTCACGGGTTGCTGCTCGGCCTGGCGGTCGCCGTCACTGGCTGTCGGAGCCTGGAACGGCAGCATGTGGTGCGTCTGCTGGAGCTGGTGATGAAGCAGCGGCTGCTGTTGCTGCTGCATCTGTTGGTGAGGGTGGAGAGACATGTCCAGGCCTAGCAATCCTCCAGAGCCCATGCTGGTGGGCAGCATTCCCCCGGGCACGCCATTCCCTCCATCCATCTTCATCATTCACTTCCTACAAGTATCAATTACGACACTAATGCTCTCGCTGCTCTTCCCTTCGCTGCCCTACCTTTTCATGGGGCGGCCGCCGAGCCGGTAAAGCGCGCGAGACAACGAAACCCCGAGGGTCGCAAAGTCTCCGAAGCACCCAGGAGCGTGAAGATCATATAGCTCAGTTCTCTGAAAGATGCGTCTAATGCTGCGTCACGACTTCTACTCCTACGAGAAGTAGAAATGTCAGAAATCACATAAAAGAAATGTCAGAAAACGAAAGGGAAACGGAGGATACCATGAGCAGAGCGCCGCTCGCTTCGATGGGCATCGCTCCCATGTCCTTCTCCGGGGCGTGGAGCTGTGAGTGCCGCCGGTTTTTGAGGTGGTAAAGTACGTACGTGGTTTTCGGAATCGGAGGGACGGGGAGGGATCACAACCTCGCATTCCATCGGTTTCAGTCGCATGTTTTCCAACTTCCTGTGGGTGAAGTTGGTGGACTCGGCTGCGTCTACCTCCGACAGCGAACAGACGGCCGTCATGTCCAATTGGCTCCAAGAAGTGAATGATATCCGCCCGTGCGAGGTCCAATGACATCCGATTTCGGTGGTCCGTGGCGGAGAGCATGCAGCCAAAGTCGTCTCGCAATAAGAAAGGTGGGGTCCAAGCGGCAATGCGTAACTCCTGTTACCCGAAACCGCCGCGGAAAAATGCCCATGGTTTTCCCTGCCCGCGGACTGTTTCGAAATCCACAGGTTTCTCAAGGCAGGGTTTTTTATTGGATCGATGGGATCGATCATGTAACCCTAGGAAAAGCCAAACACCGTATGCATGTATGTATATCCACACACGTCCTGGTGTTGAGATACTGACAGTGTAAATAGAACTAGAGTTTGGTTTGTGGCTTACTTGTCTCGGTGGAGCCGCCTGGTATCGTGCTGAGGCGAGAGAGACAACCATTCATTCCACTGAGGATTATTCCAGTCGATCTGGATGCATTGTAGGAGTGCATGAGAGTATGCCAACATGGTGTGTTCATCCTAACCAAGTGTCGTATTACCTTGTGGTCATAATGTCGATGCAGATACATGTAGGGCCACGAAGGTTGACTTCCAAATTCGGTTGCACCTAAAAGCAATTGAAATCAAGAGTGTCACTTCTCTAATGAGACATAAACGTTATGTGATAGGAAGGGTATTGTTGCAAAGTAGACTGCTTGAGTATCCAAAAAATAAGGTGAAGCATATGCACATTTGCAGGTAAAGTATTTGACCAGTATCAGCTATCCTTATCCTCATCATTTAGGGGGAAGAAAAAGACAAAAGAAGCTGAACAAATGCGTAAGCTACAATTCTTTATTCTCACATATCCAGTAAAGAAATGGCAACAACTCACAAATCAAGTAAATCCCTCGGCCTCTCCTGTTGTAGCCAGAAGAGCTCACAACATCCAACAATTAGCAAATAGGTAAAATTAAACTAGTAGTTGTGTATGTAGTAGTATGTTCTTAAAAGGCTAACAGCAAGACAAGCATAGTTAAAAAACGCAAGCCTTTAGCAAACTTGGGCATGACCATCATATTTAGTGACTTCGAAAGGAAACAGCTAAAGTTATGCATATACTCAATGATTAAAAGGAGATATGGATCGGAAACAGCTAAAGTTATGCATAGACTCAATATTTAGACACAATGTCTCCTAGGATCGAAGTTACACGCACCTAAGTGGACGCGGTAGATTTTGCCATTGTCCACCTGGTAGGTAAGAGTCAACTCGAGCAAGTTCCACAGTGATATCTTGGATTCCAACCTACGTTTACATTTTACATATTCATATAGGACTCCTAAACTAAAATAAAGCGTATTTGGAAAATACCAAGTTGTTTATTGAGAATAGTCATGCTGACAATCCGTTTGTCAGTGTCATCATTCCCTTCACCCTTCACGGTAGAATTCGCTGTCAATGCACGATGTTCCTGAGGGTGAAGTCAAATTCTTTTCATTTCCTTTGTTATAAAAAGTCAGGAAAAGACACCGAGAAACTAGAAAAGGACAACCGATCATTAAGAGAACAACGTCGATGGCATATTTAATATGGTTTCAGAGGTTCCTATACCAACATCCTCTTTAGGTACATACAGCTCTGACTTCAGTACCAACATGCATGGTAACTATTAGTGGAGATAGAATACAAGAAATATTAACCCAAAGTACTTGAAAGTCATGATTATCACAGAGCAAAAGAGGTTGAAGACTGGCCAGTGCAACACACAAAAAATATGCTACAAAAGAAAAGGAACAAGTCGAATGACAACATAGACACAACGTATGAAAATAGAAAACGGATGCATTCTTTCAGGTAATCAGTGAACACTATTTTCTGATGCAATAGCATGCTATTTTGCCCGTAAACAACAACCAGTAGGTATGGCATCCGTAAACAAATAGGGATAAAGATCACCAAAATCTATTGAATACCAATGGGAGAGATATATTAACAAATTAACTTTAGATTGTAACAAATTAAGTAGGTAGTATGGCATATACAACTAGCTTTGGCATGCTGATGTCTTGAAAAGAGCAATGTAGATAGTGACCTTCAAAATTCAAACAGAAGGTAAAGGAATTAGCCACTAGCTGTGCAAAACCTGGGTAACAGGGCATCTTCAAGATTCACACAGAAGAAAACAATAAGAAGGAACAAGCAACTAGTGCCAGAACTGGTAGCTGGGCAATTAGAACCATGAAAGACAACCAACCATATGGTTAATAAATCCAATGGTGAAAATATATCTAATTCTAGGTTGAGCCATCAATGGGCCTACGCTATGCTACTGATAAAATTAAAGCCATCGTTTTCCCAAAATAGGCAATTCTCTAGGAATTGGACAAGAATGGTCATTATCGATTAGCAGAATTCATACTATAGAAGAAGTGTTAAATAGTTCTTTCAAATAGGTGCTGGAAACTAATGATCCCATCATACCTTCACTTTAGGTCCTTAGCTTTTAGGTGATCCACAGACTGCAATACCTGATGAAAGATGAGTAATCTTATCAGTTGGGCAGCAACACAAATCTTATCAACAAAAGTGTTATCATCCCCTTCCAACCAAAACACATTTCTCATGTGAAGGCCAAAAGTCAACTACCCAAATTTGGCAAGCATTAAACAACCCCAATTGTATTGCAAGTGAGAGGAATGCTATGAAACCTTGTTGTTGCTCATCCCCTACTAAAATAAGCAAGAAAGGGTATCAAAGGACTCTCTATTGTGAAGGTTCATCAATCAAAGTGAGATTTCTTTAATGTTTACATTCTCGTAGGGATCCATTACTTTTAGCCGATCATTTATGGGATGACACTCTATTATCAACTGTTCTGCTATGATGATAAAACTAGAACATTCTGCATTCCGTATGTGATTCTATACCGTACATAATTATCAGCAGCATCCAACTGAAGGGGCATAAGGGCAGGTACCTGTCTACGGGTGATCCTTTGGAAGGACGCTCCTAATTATTGTTCCATAGACTTTACAAGTGGAGAAGTGAGTGAGCCGCTTATTGTTCTCTGAGCAACACCTAATCAGCAACAAAATTGAAAAAAAAGATATCAGCGGAAATTGGACAGTCAAACTGAGGAAGTGCAAGTGACTCTTAAATTTGGAAGCGTCGACGAAATTGCTGAGATGGCATCAAGCGGCCGAGTGTCGTGATATGCCGGCGTGCAGATCGCATGATCGTCTGTGCAGCAAAAAGGAAACGAACAAACCCGCAAAAGAGCATCAGATTCTTCTCTCGTTGTTTAAGGAGAAACACCAAGAACACACAGCGAGCATATATGCAGATCTTAAGAAAAAAATCAGGGCAAGAGGAGGCTAAGGTGGGGTGGTGGTGGATAGGAGACGAACCACATGGGACATCCTGATGAGGACCCCGAGCCTGGAGTTGTACTTGATGTTGAGGCGGTGGAAGTGGATTCGACCGACCCAGGGGTGTCCGGAGCTGCTGCTCTGCCTGGCGGGCCGGCTCCAAGAGGTGCTTGATCTCGTCGCTGTAGGCGTTCACCGCGAACTCGGTGAGGAGGGTCTCCCCCATCAGCTTCTCGCAGAGTTGGGATCCGATGAAGCCCTCCGCCCCGATCATGAAGATCACCATGGGCCGGATGGGATTCCGCTGCAGATCCACCCTCCTCCCTCATCATCGCGATTCCCCTTCCAGCGATTGTCACCTCACCCCATCATCCCTCGTATCGCGGAAGGCGGAAAAAGAGAGAAATAAGGAACGAAGTGCTGCAAGCAAGATCAAGGTAGGAGCGCGATTACCTCCTCTGGCTGACTTCCTTTCGTCAGGGAAAGAGAGGGAAGCCGGGCGGGATTTCGAGCGTGCACCAGCACGAAGCGTACCTCTCTATTTGAACGCAATTGCTGGTGGGTCCCCAAGACTGTTCTCAAGGCGAATGAACGACCCCTGAAAAGCTTAAGGGCCGACGTCACCCCCGGCAGACCCTATATGCCTCAGAAGTTGCACATACCATAATTGGCCTCCATTGGAGGAGAAGATGTTGCGAGCGGGGCGAATGGCGATGGCGGAGATTAGAACGAACCGACAGGATAACCCCGATGTTTAGGTATCCAAAGCTCATGAACCTGTGTCGTAGAAGATATATGTCGAATAAGTTCTGTAATCTCGTTCCTGAGCAAGAAACAATGAATGCTGCAAAGCCCCACGAGATGATGATCGAAGGATGAATATTATTGAGCAATAAAATGCACATCTAAACTTCACAGCTTCGGTTCAAGCATCGATTCACTAACAGCAGGAACTATCTTTCCTGCATCCAAAATAAAGCTCTCGATGAGTAGATAGACAAACAAAAACAATAGTATGAAAATGATAGATTTTCATGGGCATCTGTATCGTGGGTCCAATATTTACATACTAAACCATATAACACAAGAAAAGAGAGGCAAAATTGGCCATGGCTGGTGATGACAAACATCCTTTTACACGAGCCAAAAGCTTACCCCAAGAGAGACAAAAGGAAGCCAAGAATAGGAACATGATCTTTTTGCGCATTACTGCCAAAACATCCAAGTAAAACCACAACTCAAGATGCAATGCCTTGGGGTAGCCCTCAGAAGAACTGCTGAAGCCATGGAGAGTTGGCTGCATCTTTCTCCAGTTCATTCCTCAGTTTACAAACATGTTCCATGGCCTGTTTCAAGTCCATCTGATCTAAAGGCAAGGCAGAGAACTCCTCCAGAAAGCGATGAGCTCGAGCTGCACCACTAGACATGTCATCAGGATTACATACTCGCTTACGTTTACACCCGACCTGAAAATTAAAGAGAGATTGATCAGTTTAAAAATTCAGTCACAACATGACACATTTATGCTAGCAGCGTCATAGTAGCATGTGGTAATTTTATTGATGACTCATTACGTATGCCAACAGGGAAAAGATCAACTTTGTTCTCTGTTTTGGGGTTCACTCAGATCAGATGAAAAATTTTAAACATGAATGATGGGTCATGGAATACACTTATGAGAGACTGCTTTCACCATAGAACTAGATTCGGGAGTAGGTAGCTGATATTGTAAAAATTGGTCTAAATTGACTTGAAAGGAAACATTAACAAGATGGTCAAGAAATGCATTTATATTTATAGTCCATGGTTTCGGTTCATGAGTCAGCTGTTTGTAACTCAAGACTCAAAGTCACATGCCTAACTGGAAACTAATGTGCTCCACAAAGATAAGATTGAAAGGTCAAGCTCATGAATGTTGGAAGAGGTATATAGTTACATATATGTCAAGAAGGTGACTCTTTTTCTCTTGGGAGGGGATGAAGCTTCTCAAAGAAAAGCAACTCATGCTGTAGTATAAAAAGCTATTTGAAGGGCGATCAGACAGTTGATACACTGTCGTCAAACAATTCAAAGAGAAGAAAGCTATTCAACGTGTTTGTGCAGTATTCGTAACTTGAAAAAAACAAATTGATATTGAAAAAACAATGATATTCATTATCAATTGATATTCAAAGGTCTTGATTGTCATGATATTGAAAAAAAAATTGATATTCATCATCAGATGTCGATGAGTGAAGCATCAAAAAATATGTTTTCAACTTTTAACTTCCATGATCAAAAGAGCAGTTCCTTCACATAAATGCTATAGACAAGAGAATGAGCAGTGTGAATAACGACACAATATTATGTCTCACAAAAGTAAAGTTGAGTCAAATTGAGTCAGATTCTTATCTTAGTCCTATTATGCACATAGATTATGTTAAAAAAGTTCAAGTTGACAAGAACTAAATTTTTAGATCTGGATGTCAATGTAGGTAGATGTTCTAAGTTCATGAATTTTACTGCATTCGGATTGTTGCAATATGGTTTTATGGTCTTCCTGCATAAAAATGAACCTTACTGATACATAATAATAAAAAATATTGAAAAAGGTCCCTTTGGAATATAGTTTAGATCATTGAATCTCCCCATGCACGAGACACGTGGAGACTTATTCCAGAATGAGTCTGACCACAATCTCCAATCTTTCTTCAACTTTTTGCTAATTACTTTTTCTTCTTCTGGTTAATTTAATTATTCAACAAAACTTTAGCCATTTGCCTTGTTGCATGATCTTTTATACTAATTGACTCACTGGTAAAGTTGGATTCTTACTGTTACACGCTGACCTTATCTAATTCAACAAAATTAGGTAATGTGATATAAGAACATTGGTCAACGATCAGGAAACATGCAGGCTCATGCAATCAAAAGTACATGCTGTCAGTGAAAATTTCTTTCTGTGGCAAACCTCTTTCTCTGAACCATCACTAATGTTAGATGGCTGAGAAAAGTCTTCCAGTTCCTCAGCTTTCCTTCTAGCAAGATTTACAACGTCTTCAGGAAAATTTGCAAGTTCTGCCACATGAATACCAAAACTTTGATCACAAGCACCAGGTTCAACCTGAAAAATTGGAAAAGTTCACAGAAGATAAACAAACAAAATTGAAAACAATCAACGACTAAATTCAGTATGATGGTAGATAAAAGTCATTTGAAATGATTTAAAATAAATAAATAATTGAGTCGATCTCCTCCCTTGAACTTATAATCAGCCATGATATGCAGAGGGCATCAAGGTACTTTTGAGTTTTGACTGTGGTCCTCAATGGGGAGGTAACTGCTCATAATTTCATCAATCAATTTAGAACCTTTTTCATAACAATTATATATCACACTGAGAATAAAATGGGTGGGTGATGCTTATAATAGGATGCATTATAGTCATGAACATGATATGTGATTCTTAACTCGTCAGAGTATAAACATGTTCATTCGTCATTCATTCTAACACCATAAGATATAGTTGAGATTTAGAAAAAGATATTATAAAAGTAGGGGCCAAGTAATGATAATTAAACTCTATCCCCACTAGATAATCTAAAAGCAACTTGTGTTGCAGATCTAAAGCTTTAATATGTGTCAAATCAAGTTATTGTCAAAGTTGAACACTAAATTCTTTCAAAAGTTCTGGAGATATGGATATATGAGACCTATGGATAGAACAGAATTTACAAGTCAACTTAATGGACTTTAAACTAAAGGTTTTTCTTGAGCTCATGCAACATTTGTCAGCTACAAGGACTCCTAAAATTTGTATAACCTAGATAAGTGTATGATTTGTTTTTTTTTAAATAAGTGTATTGATCAACTAACATGGGAGATGCTTCAACAATTTAAAAGTTTCTGAACATTATAGATCGAACATATCACGAACTAATGTACCAGAAAAATGATGAACATAGTTTTTAGCTATATATATTACCACAGAAAGATAGAAAGTATCTTCATTGCTTGATATTAAACCACTGCAAGCTAATCATTCACCTTGTACATCATGGTCAACTTCCGACTTGATGGATCTATGTGCGCTCCAACATGATAATTTGCTACTCCAACGGAGGACAGATTTGGACAATCATGAGCATTTGCATGAGCTAGTGACGTGAGTTCATGGAAGTGAGTTGCAAACAGAGTCGGCGCCCTAGTAACCTCCACAAGATGCTCACAAATAGCCCAAGCCAAGCCTGAATTAAGATTAACTAAATCAAGACAAATCCAGAGAGAATCCAAGGATCAAATGTTACATTTCGTAAAATCAGTCTCTGAATTTCACGCAAATCTTCAGCTCCAGTATGACATGATGTGATAAACATGAATGGAAGAACATACCATGGCAAAGATAATGATAAAACTTGTCCCCTAAAGCAGTATAAATTTAGCAATTTGAAGGGATAAATATCACATTATCATAAACAAGAGAAACAAACAGACAAATGTCTTTCCTTCACTTTAACTAAAAAGACAATCCATTGTAGTCCCAACTCCCAAGAATTTTTTACTTGACACAAAGTAGTCAATTTCAGCCCATCTTGAGTTTTGAGTTTTAGGTTAATAAATTATTGCTGCAAATTTGCTGTCCCAGAATTAAATATCATACAAATCAAAATGTGAGTAGTTCACTGTTCTGCTAATGTTGACTTGGAATGACACTTTAATATGGATTATTGTATTCCCAAATAACTTGACAATTCACACGATCATGTCTAGGACTCAAATATTGCATTTAAAAATTTGTGGAGTCATAGATGATGGATAGTACAATAACTATTCTATCAACTTCAGTAAAGACGAGGGAACTAAAGCTTGTAATCTGTGTAACAATTCCTGACAGTAGCCGTGCTACAGCCAAAGTTCAACTTTAGAAAACCTACCTAAAAGGTTGGCTCCAAGAAGAGACAACTATGGAGACCATGGTCTTAATTTTCCTCCGCACACGTCATATGATGGTCACATGTCAACAAGATACAGCATGGATATGTGACAATCAACACATGCCAACACACTATTGGTATGATAGACTCCAATGCCAATACATGTAGACATGGTGTCACTGGATTGGAACTCTCCAAAACTACATGACAGATACTCCCAACTGATATGGTAGGATGATGGCACTTGGGAGATTATGTACCAAAGTTAGTTTTATGTTAGGCAGGGACTTCAACTTGATTTATCTCAGCACCCATGCATGGTTACGGAATCACCCATACATGCAGAGTTGATGATAGGATCATTTGGGAACTTTTATATCCTTTATGCTCAATTTGCTATCAACTAGGCTTTTATATCCAGCAGCTTGATTATACTGTGCTCTAAAAACCTCAGATTTGACCTCATTAGTGTTTGGGTATCTTTAAGCTATCATAGGTTATCTTGGGTTCATTTACGTCAACCAAGCATGCAATCACATTGACTTACAAAGAAAAGAATTGAGGATCAAGAAATAGAAATGTGATTTCAAATGTCAAGTTGGTGTACCAAGCAGCATTAAATAGGTGCATGATAGGAAGCAACAAGATCAGAGGAACCTTGAAACTTTTGGCATCCAAGAGAAACCTGAAATTTCAGAGCAAACTTTTGAGTTCCTGAATGTCCTTTTTCTTTTGAAGTGGTATATCAAGATTTGAATATAAGGAGATCTTTAGGCCAAGGGTCACCATTTTGGGTTCTGGACCTGTTTCGGTGATCTAGTCAAACCGATACATACCGATAAGTACTGTATGGACCATCATTTCAAAGAGGAAGAAAAAGAAGGATAAGAGGAAGGGAGGGTTGAGGAAGAGAAGGAAGAAGGAGAGGAAGTGGAGGAAGAAGAGGAAGCGGTAGAGAAGGCAGAAGAAGAAGAAATAAGAGAAAGAGAAGAGGTGGAAGTATACCTAGGAGATAGACACTAGCGAGATGAAAGAAGAGGCAACAGTGGAGCACCACGAGAAGACGGCAGCAGCGAGAACTTGCCAAGCAATGACAGCGACAGTAGCATTGCAAGAAGAGGGCTCATGAGTTGCTATTTAAGGTTTTTTTCTTTTTTAATACTATAATGGATGGGCCCCACTGCTATTTTAGGCTTCTTTTTTATTTTTCCCTAAGTTGGATCAGACCACTCGAAACGAAGGTGGTCTGTACTGGTCCACATCCAGACCAATAAGTAACGCCCAAGTCCACATTCTGGTCCTCGTACGAACCAATACATAACACTCATTTTGTACCCTTTCGGGTGATACAACAATCACTGTGATAATATGACATAGTGCTTTTAAAAATTGACAACTACACACGAGTAAACAATGTATTGACACATTAATCAACTAAGAATGTTGCATAACATATGAGTAAACAATTTCTTAGTTTATGGTCAGACATTTGATGTTGCAACTTCATCACTTGGTTAGCCCCATGATTGAAAATTAGTGCCAAATACATCCACTCACATACAATGAATGATTGCTATGAAAACGCAATAGAACTCCAAAAACAACAAGAAAGAAAAAAAAAGAAGAAAGAAGAAGAAGGGGAAATGTAAATATCAACTCAACCAATACAAGAAAATGATAAATGGGCAGAATAAGCAACAGATAATGATATAATATAGTAAAGATGAGATAAAGAAACAGACAAACCAAATCCATCGTAAGTTGATGTTCCACGGCCTAACTCATCAATAATTATTAGTGACTTCTCAGATGCGCCCTTTAAGATTGAAGCAGTCTCCAGCATTTCTTGCATGAAGGTGGAAACGCCACGAAGCTGCAAAACCAACACAAACTTTCAATATTTGAAAGAAAAAAAGATATCGTCACATCACATTCTAATGAGATGGGGAAAAGGGAAGAATGCACCTATTAGTCATAATCATAACCTTAACTGTAAGATCCCACAAGGGATATGAGCTATGGTGTACATACTATATGTCATCATGCACACTTAATATGTGAAGTGCCTTGTGAGCACTCTAATTAACAGCAAATAATGACAAATATGGCAGTTGAGTATAATACGTTAGTGGTGTATAGGCCATGCTCTGACCTAATGTGCATCCAAATGAACATTAATCACAGGCGAGATGGAGCACTAAAGATGATGGCATTAGCATGCTAGACTGATGGCCTCTCTGGAATCACTACATCACCAATAGGGTTCCCTGGTGATTCAATATGCAATAGTGAGGACACTGGGGGCATAAATTGTGAAGATTGTGGTAATCCCAATCAGTCTCATGTGATTGCAGGTTATGATGTAAATAGTATATTAATGATTATTAAGTCTTGAAAAATACTTCCAAGTGCTTCTTTTTGAAACAAGATCCATGTAATTTCATGCATGAATCATGATGTTAACTAAAGCCAATAGACAGCTCTGAAACCCTTGGTTCATAGTTTATACCACAGATGTTTTAGAATGTTAAGCATGTTTTATTGAAACACATTGGAAGATGGAGCAAAGAAATTGAATTGTACTATTGGAACTTGGTGTAAACAGATATGGAGAGAAATTGCAATTGTATTCATTTTATAAACTTAAAATTGGCCGATTACCTTAATCCTAATACACCAACAAATAACTTTTCCACAACTCATTACCCTAAGCTTTTGGAATGTTCCTTGTTCTAATTCCTTCTGATTGTGATAAGAAAAAGTAACATATGTATCATTTCATAACAACTCATAACTCCGATCCCTGAACAAGCCATATAAGAGCCAAACATAGTCCCAACAATTTTGTACATACTATCACTGCTCAATTCTCAAAAAAAGAAACACAATATGCTTTAAAAGGATTCTACCGATACTCATCCACCTAGAATATTTGGCTCAATCCAGAGCATAAATCCAGATGAATTCAATTTGTATATTTTGGGAAAATAAACAATGTCAGATTCATCGAAATCCTAAAGTCTACCATTTAATGCATCAATTACTATTAGTAATTTAATATGTTCATTAGTTGTCAGTCGGTGACTGATTCTTTTACTCAAAAGTTGACTGTTCCATCTTAATTCTTATAGAATCAGCTCCAAAATATACAGTGAAGTCGATATATGGTTCTCAGTTGCCAGAACTTACATTATATGCTCATACTTAATATATTTATCAGGAATTCTGCTTTTCTGCACATAAGACTAAGAACTTTAAGGATTTGTAACAAACTTACCTGGCAATCACCAGCCCCAACACGAGCAAAGATACAATCACGTATGCTTATGGTTGCCCTCTCACATGGAACAAAGCAACCAACTTGTGCCATCAATACATTGACACCAACCTGGATATTGACAAGTTGAAGAAAAGAGTGCAAACATCAGATGCATTTCAAGTTTAAGTACAACAAGAACTCATAAGGACTTTATAAATTTGTATATAAGAAAATGTGTTACGTCAAATTCAAAACTGAAAAGGAAGTTATTCTTGATATCAAAAACTTGTCATTGGGTAAGACAGCCATGAATATAATCCACCCTCTCAAGTACAATTAAGAAAACCATTAGTTCAGTGAAGTACATACAATCTAAAATACAAAGGACTCAAAAAAGGAATATCCTTATTAATGAAATTTACAGAGAATTCCAGCACACGAGGAGATCTTTTTTAGAAAGAACATTACTAATGATTATCTAAATTCCACAATTGAAAGGCTTCAAGTAGCTTTTTAGGATGTTTTTGAAGGAAGATCAGGAAAGATGACAGGAAAAATAAACTCAATAAAATGGTGAAATAATGTAGGAAAAAGTTAATGAAGCCTGTTGTACGAGAGAAAAGGTATGAAAGAAAACATGTTCATATGACTGGTGAGGATTGCGATTTTTCCACATGAAGATTAAAAAGAAAAGTTGGAAAGTAAAAAAAATCCCAACTATTGAAAACTGATACACTATTTTAAATTTGAAAATAAGAATCATCATGCCAATCAACACAGGTCAGTATGGCTTGAAATGTACCAATGACAAGAAGGTACTAGCACATGACATTATAACAAATGTCAGTTCGGCTGGCATATGGCTTGGCCAATTTTTGGCTTGCGCCAACCAGTATGACATGAGATGGCATCATACCAAAAAAGGTGCTGCCACACACCCAAACCACGATACAAGAGGTTGGTTTTTTGGCTTGTTCTGACCAGTATGTAGCTTTTGTTTCCTTTAAAACAAAAGCTGCATAAATACAGGACTATTGTTCCACTCCTAAAATATTTATTAGCATTAGGTATATTCAATTTTGTGTCTTTTTTTTCTGTGGGGAACTTTATGAGGTAGGTGGCCTTTTTTCTCTATGATATCCCAACTGTGAAATTCTCAATCAAGCATTTTGTGAACACCTATTCCGAAAGAAAGTTGCTCGTAGAGGCCAGCCACAAAGATTTTTGGTTTAAAGAGGGATTCAGGAGCCTCTCCATATAGGAGCAAAAGGTATTTATTACTGTGAAAAGTAGAAGAAGACAAACAGAATGGTCTAATGGGTCCATCTAAGCTAATTTTCCAACCAATGTAATGCTAAACAATACAAAGAGCTGATGCATCTATTTCATGTTCAAGGTTACAGAGTGCTAATGCCAGACTTTGCATGCATGACAAGGAAAAATTTTGATTACAGACAGACACCAATCACCAATTAGCCAATACATCTACTTCACATTTTGTGAACACCTATTCTGAAAGAAAGTTGCTTGCAGAGGCCAAGAAAGTTGCTCATTGAGGCCAGCCACAGAGATTTTTGTTTTAAAGAGGGATTCAGGAGCCTCTCCGTGAAGGAGCAAAAGTTATTTATTACAGACAGACACAAATCACCGATTAGCCAATACATCTACTTCATAGTTGTTACTGCTCAACTAATGACACTGAATGGTGTCTTAAATCTAATTAATTCATATGTTCTATCTGACCCATAATCACACTTTTAGCATCCAACATTCCAAAAAGCAAGGTAAGCAATACCGAATAATACCGTCCGATACGAGCGGTATGTATCGATCCGACGGTATACCAGTACGCGGACCGCCCGTTACCGGGCAGAACGAATAATAATAATAAAATAATATCTATTTATTTATATATTTATTTATATATATATATATTTTTTTTAGAAAAAGGCTCGGCGACGTCGCCGACGCGACGCGACATCGCCGAGATGCTTATTTATATATATATATATATATATATATATATAT